TGTATGCACAGGCTGGGTTAAGATTGGATGAAGTTTGCGGGAGACGGCATGAAGCTGACTGAGTGAGTGACAGGGAAGTTTAACACCGCCTGTGCAGAACAGGCAGTGTTATGATCCCCTGTCAGCTGACAGTCATAGCAACCGGACTTAGTCTGCTTGATGCCATCTGCCGCAAACTTCAGTCAATATGTGAACAGGATTTAGGCCGTCGGCCAATGAAGCGCAAGGCACGCAACATCACTTTTTCCCAGAGTCAGTCCCCAAATAAAAAAGCTAAAGGTGGGCCGGCAGGGAGGTGAAAAGGAGCCTTGCGTCTGCTCATGTTATTAGATCATACCTTGTTGTAAATAGTTAAAGGAACACAAACATGTTTTCCTGACCCTATAGTGTTAAAACCACCATCTAGCCTCCTCTTTCCCGCCTTGCCCTCCCTAAATATATCAAAATCTTACTTTTATGCCAGTCTGCTGCTGCTGGCTCTGCCCCTTATCTGCCTGCTTGGTTGACATCATGAGTAAATCTCTGAACCAATCACACTGCTTTTCCATAGGATTGGCCGAGACTGTCAAGGAGGCAGATCAGGGGCAGAGGCAGCAAAAGTCAAACACAGCCCTGGCCAGTCTGCATCTTCTCATAGAGATGCCTTGAATTAATGCATCTCTATAATGAAAGTTTAGTGTCTCCATGCAGAGGGTGGAGACACTGGATGGCAGTGCTGCACTGTGTGTGTGTGAATGTGTGTGTCTATAAGCAGTGTGTGTGTGTTAGAGACAGGGAGTGTGTAAAGCAGTGTGTGTGTGTGTGTGAGAGAGACTCTGTGTGTGTAACAGCCAGTGAGGGTGTATAAGCAGTGTGTGTAAGAGACTGTGTATGTGTCTGTTAGAGCCAGTGAGTGTGTATAAGCGATGCATGTGTGTAAGAGAATGTGTGTGTGTTAGAGCCAGTGAGTGTGCATAAGCAGTGTGTGTGTGTGTGTGTTAGAGCCTGTGTTTATAAGCAATGTGTGTAAGTCAGTGTGTGTGTGTGTGTGTGTGTGTGTGTGTGTGTGTGTGTGTGTGTGTTAGAGCGAGTGAGTGTGTGGCAGAAGGGACTAAAGAAAAGTAGGATGAAGATACAAAAACATAAAAAAAAGAATGCCAAACAGGGGATGCAATATACAAAAATGGAACACGAGAAAGAAAAAGGTGGCTAGATGCACAAAAGGGGCCAAAGAATGGGTAACAGGGGAATATTAGATAGACAGGTGAAGACAAATTTTGGGGGCAGCAAAATGTGTCTTCACCTGTGTAGACAGACGTCTGTGCACCGGCCCTGCTTCAATCCATTAAGAAGTACCTCAAAACCCATCTTTTCAGGAATGCTTATGGCCTCCAAGAGTAACTTCTATCTCTCTCCTAAAGGGCCACACTCCACTCTCACCTCTAGTTCTGCTACTTTCCCATCACAGTTATCACTTATGGGAGTCTAAATATATTAAAAGAGTGTAAAAACAAGTATTATTTAGGTTGTGATCAGCTATGTATATATTATAAAAATAAGCTGTTTTTTATTTGCAATCACAATTTGCTCTACGATTGTCTAGAGCAATTTCGGCGCCAATTTTAACTTATTCTAATTTATTTTATGCCTATATAAACTACAACTAGCCAGGTTGGAAGCTCCTAATCCATTGATAAAGCCTATATGGTGAAACATGTTTGGATACTGTTAAATTGCTTTATATATTGTTAATATATATTGTCTGGTTACAACTACAGGTCTGTTCATCCACCCATTGTAAAGCGCTGGGGAATTTGATGGCGCTATATAAATATATTAATAATAATAAATAGATGTTGGTCCTTTTTACGTCTGTGTACCATCATCTTTTATTCACATTTTTATCTAATTTTTACTACAACCTGGCATTTTTACTTCTCTCCACTACTCCAAAGAATCCTAGGTGGGGATCATACCACCTACACTGTTGTCATAGAGCAGTCAGCCTGCTCTATAAATTGTGAGTATATTTTATTATATTTTATATACCAGAAAGATTTTATTGAGAGCTCTATTGCTGTTTTTATTCTCTTCCATTTGGTTCCCTGTTACCACCATCTTTAAAGAACACTTATCATATATCCCAGAGGCGGGGATTGTACTTCTGTATGCCTACCAAACTAGAGCTAGTATAAGCTCTACTAAATGTGAGTGTTATATCTATATTGTATTACCTTTTATTTACTGTGGAACATACTACACCAAGAGGACACCCACTGCATATCCCATAAGCAGGAGATCATACCGCTGAAAGCTATACACACCAGAGCTGGATTAAGCTCTAACAAATGTGAGTAAAATTCTACCTTTTCCATATTGGCATCTCTTGGAACGTACCGCACTATTAGTTTCTCTCATCTCTTATCACCCTCTCCTATATACCTGACCACTGCAAGAAGCGGAACCCCGCAGCCCAAGAGATCAGCATAAGATCACAGTTCCTACCTTCTGGCCTCTGCTCATACAGCAACTTAACTAAGCTAGTGTAACGGAACCGCTGGCACCCCGACCGGGTACCTTCCGCTGACGGATGCTCCTAGTGCTTTCCGAGGACTCCAAGCACTCTGCCCGACACCATAACCATTGCAGACCCCACGAACCGCTGCAGCTTGGTTGGGGTCTCGCCGTCTCCACCCACTCTGGACCCAAGACCAGGGTCCAGTTTGCAGTAGGTCGACCTCTCCGAATTTCAGAGAGCAGGAACAGGAACAAGCTCTTGGCAGAGCTTAGTGGTTATACCGTGGGGAGTATAGTGATTATAGCAATCCCCAGAGTGTAGTTCTCCAATGCCCCAAACATGAGCCGAAACTTCATGAAGGTACAAGATGATCTGCATTTAACGTGGCTTTTGTCTTATTACTTGCCACTACGCCTCGAGCTTCTAGTAAATCCTTTAGCGTGGTTCTCTTAAGTAGCTGATACTGCTGAGCCATTCATTCCCTTGCTTGGTTCCGAATGTCCATTCGGGATTCGAATCCCGCCGCTTGCCACCAGTTGTAAGGAACCGCCAGAGCCTTAGTGATTATAGCCCTCCGTTCGGTAGATAGGGTAGACAAATCCTATAGCAATTCCAATAGCTTCACAAGATGATTCGCTTAGTGAAACACACGAATCCCCAAACATCAGCCAAAGTCAAGAAGAAGGGTACAAAATGAACTAACTTTTAATGGGTGCACACAGCTTTTATGCAAGTCCCCATGCAAGGGGACAACCCTCAGGGAGGGACAAATATTCACCAATCACATACAGTAAAACTTTAAAACACACCCACAGTTCCCTCCCCTAGCCCTGGAGATAATTAAGTCTGATAAAAGAATAACTTAATTATCTCCGGGCTGAAAAATCACTTTTTTCCCCAATAACTGGAACACCCCTTTATACTTGGGGTATCCCCACAAATAACATGTCCCCTGATAGCCCTGATCTGGGTGACCAACATATTCGAATTTCACCCAGATCGGTTCTGGGGTTCGCAAAAACTATGGATGTCTTCTGTGACTGGCTCACCCTGGGCTGCATGCCCAAAACTGTTCCATGAGTTTGGTGGGTTTTGACGGTCACTTTAGAAATATCAGAAAAGTGAACAAAGTACCGAATGGATCCCTCTGGCTCCTAGCAGCGTTCGTGCCCCTCTGTCGAATGCACCAAAGTACCGAATAGCGCTCTTCTAGCTATTCGGTAAATAGAGTTCCAGCGTTCGTCTGTTTGAGACCGGTGTTCGGGAAGTCGAGTGTCCGTTTTCAGTTCCATACACTCGACGACCAAGTCCCGCTGCCTTTGTTCGCATGAACAAAGATGGCCACGGTTTTCTCTGCCACGTGGCGCTCGGCTGTGCGAACGCTGGCCGCACAGACAGAGGTAGCAATTGAATCAGTCTTTGATGTTTTACGAGCCAAAGGGGTGGTCTTTGTTCGGTAGTTACATCTTCCAAATGCAATGGGCAGAAATAGTGTAACAAAAGGGGGATTTCTTCACAGCTAGGACTTATTTATATTTATTGTCTTTTTTCTTTTTCCTTTTTATTGTGGCGCAGCCCCATTACCTTGTCTTTTGCCATCTTTCCAATTATTTTTAAGGACACGTGACGGAGTCCTTACTTGGGATTGCTGCCTCTTTCTCTTAGGATTTGTTAGCGCTGACTCACTTACCCTACTTTCCCACCATGTCTATCTGCTGTCTCTCTCAATACACTTCCTATTATGTTTTTATACCCCACCTCCTCTAGACTGTAAGCTCGTTTGAGTAGGGTCCTCAACTACCTATTGTTCCTGTTACATTATCTTATTGTCTCATTTGGTAAATCCCCTCTTATTGTAAAGCGCTGCGGAATAACCTGGCGCTATATAAATACCAATAATAAAAATTTATATTATGTCCCTTTAAACAGGTACTGACACTTTTATATTATGATGTTTTTCTGAACTTGTAATGGTGTCTGCGTATCCAAGAGTGTGGATGTCATTGTAAAAAATTATTATTTTTTAATAACTACACTTTTCTTTTTATTCCTACACAGTGTATGGAGGGGCAGGTATCTGGTCTTGCCTTGGGAAGCCTGCCATTTCCATGATGATTTCCTGGGCCCTTGTAATGTGCTCATGCTGCTGGGCAACTCATGAAAAGTTCTGCCCTGCTGTATGCAGCATTCATATTTAACAGAGTGTAGAAACCAAAGCTGTTCCTTTGGAGTCCTAACACTTGTCTTGTGTTGCCCATCAGCATGCAGGATGATTGGGCAACTCTTCTCTATATTCCTAATGATGGACTTCCTACAGCTCAGCCAGCCTACAGACATTACAGACAGCAACCATTTATTTAAAACATATAGAGATTAAAACGCCTTCATTTCCCGAGCTCTGCAGTTCGCTGAGCAGTGTTCACATGGTGTGTGCATGGGACAATCTAAACAGGCAATATCCGGGGCAGCCTCGCCGAGGCCCTACCCCGGCCGCGCATTCAGGCGCTGTCCAGGGCAGCCCATTCTCCTCGGGGTCCTTGGCTGTTGCCAGAGCAGGCGTTCTCTCGGGCGCACATCTGCTGGGGTCCTCCCGTAGGCCGGCTCAGTCGGGGAGGAGGAGGCCAACATGGCGGACGTGCTGAGCGTTCTGCGTCAGTATAACATCCAAAAGAAGGAGATTAACGTCAAGGGGGACGAGGTCATCTTCGGGGAGTTCTCCTGGCCAAAGAATGTCAAAACCAACTATGTTATCTGGGGGTGAGTGCTGGGGGTGGAGGAGGAGAGCATGGAGCAGCATGCGGGGACAGGGGGACATGTGCAAAGTGTCTGTGTCTCCCTCCCTCCCATACACAGGCTATATTATGTTTACATTATTATTATTACACCCTCCTCCTAACTCTTATTATAGCAGCTCTACCTGGCAGGGCTTTTGTAAATTAAATATATGGTGAGGGAATAAATTCTATATCTCTGTATGGAGAGTCCAGCAGTCACTCTGTGTCCTATTCACATAGTCTGTTTATACTGCACCCATCGCCCAGCAGGTTTGGGACTCTCTGGGGCCTTTGATTTATTTAAACACAGTTATGTGTACCCCACATGTACGTCCTAGAGCCTCAGCGTTTTGAAATATGTTGCTGTGTTTTGGACTTAATTCTACCTGCAAGCCAGCTTTAGTGTTGGATGATAACTTTTTTTTTTTTATAAGATCTGTATCTTCTAACACATGTTTTTGAGTAATTTGTGTGTGTGGTTTTCATGGAATTACTGCCCTTGCTCCTCTGGAAAAAAGAACAAGTTTATCTTTATTTTAGATCGTATTGTTATCATTTTTCTTATGGTTTTTTTTTTTACATTAATGTTGTTGGCTTTAGACGATGCCGCCGGTGATTTTTTTTTTTTTTTGTCTTTTTGTGGTGATTTTGTTTCTTGGAGAGTTGCGTATCTTTTCCAACTAGAATATAAGATTTGAAAGCTCATATGAGCAGAGCTAACTTTACCTCCTGTCTGTCAACCTTATTTTGTCTAGTCAACATCTTGCTGCTATGTACTGTATAACTGTAAAGAGTCAAGGGACAAGTTTGCTCTTTATAATGGATGTTGGTAACAGTGTATGCATATTTGTTATTTTATTGTGAGGATTTTGTTGTTGTTTTGCCTAATATGCAAAATTTCTTGGATGCTTGTTTTCTGAGTGACTGCTTTATTTTCTGCAGCTTTAAGCAAAACCTGAGGTTTCGACCTTGAAGCTAAGACTTTTAAAAACCATAACATATCTTCTATCACTTTTGTAGTGGATATTGACTAATATATAAACATTTTCTTTACATCATCCATGAGCTTGTTTGATGCGTTATTGTGACCGTAGAGTGCCTAGCAACAGCATCTGAAACACGTCTCCTCAGATATTTGAAATTGGCTAAAATATTTTTTTTTTTTAAATAAACTTTAAACATTATAAATGTTTATACAGTTTGCTTATCCACTGGTGGCAAGGGAATCTCATAAAGTGTTATATCTGTTTGCCTAACAAGCATGTAGTCACTGTTCACATTGTAGGAGGAACAGTGAAAATCAAACATTTTTGCTGTCACTGGGAGTATCAATAACAAGTACCTATATTTTAACATGTGTGCTCCCCCCTGCACTCACTGGCAGTTGTAACGGACACTATAGCAATTTACAAATTTTCTTGGTTTTGGGAATGAGCCAAAAATGTCAAGCATGAACTAAATTCAATCCCAGAGTGAACTAGCCTTTTGTGGCAGGAAAAAAGTTGTATTTATATCTTAAGCATGGATGCAGTAATCAAATATTGAACCAAAACAAAACCTAGAATTTTTGCTATGTTGCTGTTTCACTGTAATTTAAGGCTCTTTCCTTTTCCCTCAGTATATATTGGATTTTAAAGTACAGATAGGCATTTTGTATAGCTAACACAGCATTAAGTATGACTAAAATTAAGGATTGTTTTCCTTCAAGTTTTTCTTAGACGTTTACACATCAAGTTCAACTAGCAAAAAATAACTCAAAATAGATTCACATATCAGTTCTGATTGTTAATTGCCTAGTGTCTAGGATCTAAATTAGATTTTGGTAGTTAACAGTAAAAACCCTATGCCAACCATAACCCTATGTTTACACTAGCACTGAATTTACACCTAACCTTATCTTTTAGCTAAGCCCAACATTAACCCTTACCTTACAATACCACTACCTCAAATCAGCAGTAGAGAGCAGTCTGTGATCAGCATGACTGGTAGGCGTCCTTCTCATTCTGTCCCTGGTGATCACTGTGTGATAAGTGTTGGGTGCACCTATTAAAGCCTAGTACCGATTCCATTCTGCAGAGAGGCCTACAGGGGCAGACTCTGTGGGGGACAGACTCCTAAACACTGTGGCTGAGTACGATCACTCCAAGGTTCTCCCGGGTGTTTAAAGGGATTTAACCCTGCTCAAACCGAGATGTTACATGCCATCCTAACAGAGTTCAAGCCCACTCTGTGGACGATGCTATATCCCAATTGAGAGGTTAAGTACATGAGGCAAATATTGTGCTTTTAAAATTCTTTATTCATTCCCTATAGCAGAAAGTTACAAATGTCAAACTTGAATAAAAAGGCACCTGCCAACTTAACCTTTCAGGACAGTCTGTATAAGTTCCTACCATCCTCAAATCTTCCTCTTTCAATCTACAAACGTTAAAATCTAGAAACCTTACATGAACTTGAAAAATACATGTACTAAACACATTATAAATATAATTCCACCAAGTAAATCTTATAAAACTGCAGAGGACGTGTTTAGAAAGCTATAAAATATATACACTTAAAGGAACTGTGTAGACACAGTATATGCACCATAACAACTTCCTCAAATTAAGTTCTTGTGTCCGGTGGTGCTGTTTCACCTTAAAGGATTAAATCGTTCTCGATTTGGTTTAACCCCAAAGTCTGTGTTCCAGAGCCAATTCTTCCTGCCTCTCTGCCTTTCCGTTTAAAAATAAATAAATCCTATAAATGGGATGAGATCGTCATCTGACCGCTTTTAGCCAATTTTTTTTTTTTTTTTTTAAATTAATGGGCAGAGGGGTGGACAGGCAGATCTGAACATAGACTGGTTAAACAGTGGTGTGTTTTTTTTTTCAAATTGGTTTTAAAATTGTTTAATTTTTAAATGTAATTTGTAGGTCATGATCGTGTATTATGAGATACATATTGTGTAGGGCTTATTGGATAGCAATAGTTACCCTTTTAAAGGAACACTATAGTCACCTAAATTACTTTAGCTAAATAAAGCAGTTTTAGTGTATAGATCATTCCCCTGCAATTTTACTGCTCAATTCACTGTCATTTAGGAGTTAAATCACTTTGTTTCTGTTTATGCAGCCCTAGCCACACCTCCCCTGGCTATGATTGACAGAGCCTGCATGGAAAAAAAAAACTGGTTTCACTTTCAAACATATGTAATTTACCTTAAATAATTGTATCCCAATCTCTAAATTGAACTTTAATCACATACAGGAGGCTCTTGCAGGGTCTAGCAAGCTATTAACCTAGCAGGGGATAAGAAAATCTTAATTAAACAGAACTTGCAATACAGAAAGCCTAAATAGGGCTCTCTTTACAGGAAGTGTTTATGGAAGGCTGTGCAAGTCACATGCAGGGAGGTGGGACTAGGGTTCATAAACAGAGGGATTTAACTCCTAAATGGCAGAGGATTGAGCAGTGAGGCTGCAGGGGCATGTTCTATACACCAAAACTGCTTCATTAAGCTAAAGTTGTTCAGGTGACTATAGTGTCCCTTTGAAGATATGAAATAAAAGTGAAATTTGAATGAGTGATTTTTTTTTTTGTTTAATTCTTGCCAGAGCATCTTTTAAATTACAAGAGGGCTTACCTCCTACCCTTTAAAAGACCTCAGAATGTGTGGGATGGCTGGTGGACATGGTTTCTCTGATCTGACATGAACCCTGTTTCAATCAGGAAAAAAAGTCTTTAGGGTGAATTTAAATTTGGCGCCGGTTTGTAGTTGCGTTATTAGCACACAGCTACCTGAACACTGCTTCCATTATACAATGCCTGCATGCAGAAACCTGCCTCTTCACACCCAGGGTCGGGTTCTGCAATCTGAAGCACCACCAACAATCCCAATATGGATTGTTGTACACCTCAATTTGACCATAAGATAGTATTTTACCACTTGAACCTTGTTGATCCAGTGATTAACAAGAAAAAAATAAAGATTGAGGCAGTATTAACAGTATTAGGGATGCACTGAAATTTCGGGTGAAAGTGGGCCTATCCCAAGGCTGAAAAAAGGGCAAATCTGCCTAAAAGAGACAGCTTGACTTTGAAAAACAGAGGATTCACCGCTTCCCCTGACTGTGCCCTGCTCCAACACCCCTCCGTGCTGACCATGAAGAAGATAGAACGGGAGGCGGTTGCCCCTACCCTCCTCCTAATCTTCCTCCGGGATCATGGCCTCGCCGGATACCGGGGCCGCTCTGGAGTGGACCCCAGGGAAGAAAGAGAGGGCTTTCCCGGGGGCCGAGCACTGGTCATCCTCGGGGTCAAACATCATGGTGGGGGCAACTGGAGAACCAGCAGGAGAAAGAAAGCTAAGGTAACTAGCAGGGGCACCCTGGAGGGGAGGTATACTCGGAGTATACCCGGAGTAGTGTACTAAGGGTTATTATAGTATTGCTGTGCCCATGATAATCTAGTACAAAGATTTACATGCTGTATATACACATGCTGTGCCCATAATAGTCTACAAAGAGTCCTGTGCTGTGTACAGTAAGTTTTACATGCCTGCAGATTTCCAATTCACAGCATGTGAGCCTCCAAAAAAAAGTGTTTTAATGCTTGATATAACCAGTGCTGTGCCAACATAGGGATTACCAAATATGAAATACAGTATTCCCATTTTGTGTTGGCTACTATACATAGGATTACTTTAGTGTTTTGTCGTTTTGCCTGTAGTATATCCAGTGTGATGTAGACCAGCCAAGTACATGTAAAGGTTTGCGTGCTTTCAGAATACCCAGAGCCGTGTACAGCAGTGCTTCCTGGATATCCAGCATAATCCATCCCAATCTGTACACAGTACTGTTCATTTAGAGTTCTATGAACATAGAGTGATTGCATTACAAGAGTAAACATTGTGTTCCCATGCAATCCTAACTAAAAAAAACAAAAACTGATCACTGTACTGTGATCAAAAATATTTTGTATGTTTGTGTGTATGTAATATAAACATTTTGTTTCCATTTTCATTCTTTATATGGCTGTGTACAGCAATGAAAACATTGGTGGTTATTCATTAATGCGCAGAATATTTTTTTTTTTTTTTTCTTTATCTTGTGGACAGTGCACTGCTTGCATGTGTGCAGAGCCCCCCTTTGTGTATAGAGATACATTTAGTAACATGCTCAGTACTTGGTATTCTGACTGCATACCAACATATGTGAGCTTAATGGTTTTCATGTATTTTCCCTTTAAAGCACTGCTTTTATATTCAGAGTTTATATTGCTTGTTTAATTCATTAAAAAATCTAATAATACAATTATAGAAAAAACTATTTTAAAATCATTTGGAGAAAGTAGTTTTCGGCCAACGGCATCTAGAATTTTTGGTTTCGGCCCAGAATTTTCATTTCGGTACATCCCTAAACAGCATCCACTTACTGTTCCATTCACTGAGAAACCCAAAGCTTCCAGGCAGATCGGTAATTTGATGCTCTACCTGGGGTCCAGACTTCAGATAGGTTACTTTGAGTTGAAACTGAAAGAATACTCGTAGGTGGGGGAACATCCTATATTAAGCTTGCTATAAATTTGAGTCTTTAACCCCTTAAGGACCAAACTTCTGGAATAAAAGGGAATCATGACATGTCACATATGTCATGTGTCCTTAAGGGGTTTAAAAGAAGTTGAGTCCATTTCATGTGTTGGAGAATAGTGATGTCCCGAACGGTTCGCTGCGGACTCATCATTGAGTAAACTTTGACCCTGACCCTGACTTTGACACAGTCAGCAGACACATTCCAGCCAATCCGCAGCAGACCCTCCCACCTCCTGGACAGCTCACTAAGAATGCAGCTTCACAATGAATGTAAAATGGATGCTGTCCAGGAGGTGGGAGGGTCTGCTGCTGATTGGCTGGAATGTGTCTGCTGACTGTGAAGTACAGGGTCAAAGTTTACTCAGTGATGAGTCTGTGGCGAACCATTCGCGAACCGTTCGGGACATCACTATTGGAGAATAACAGACCTGTTCAATGATATCTATAAGAATGTTGTCTAGATGTGATGACTCCCTCTTCTGTCTAAATTTGACATTTGTGTCAGTTGAAAATAAAGTAATATGGCACTGCATCTCTAACTGGCTAATGCCATATTAGCATTGCCTTAGATGTATTGTTCCGTGGGTCCAGCCTCTATAATTATAGGGCTATCTTTGAGTCTAGCTCAGGAGTCATGCGTTTTGGTTGTTTTGGACATTCCGTGCTTCCATTCCATGGAAGTCCATTTGCTTACTCAGCCAAGTTTCTATATCCTTGGCAATAAAAGAAGTGAAAGCATTTATTCTCACCATGTATCATAAAGAGGATTTTTCGCTTCAGATTATAGACAGTGTATTACGACAGGGATTTCTAATCTGGAGGGGAAAATAAGGCAGGCAAACTAGGGGTCGAACAATGTTGTGTGTTTTTTTGTTTTGTTTTTTTTGTTTAGAGCAGGTACTGATAATCTGTGACCTTTCAGGCCGATAAGTTACCGATATTCTGTACATTTACCATTTTGAAAAAATAAACTGTCAACACAAATCTAATGTTAACCGAACATGTTGATTATTATTTTTTATATTTTTAAGAATTTGTTTTCAAGAATATGTGTTTAGTGGATGCAGTGAGTACATTAAATGCAGAGTGTGTGTCTTACCTGGCCTGTGAGGGGGGGTATGGCATTTCCTGGGGGCCCAGCAACACTTACTTCCCTTCCCAGCAGCTCCCTTGTCTAACTCTCGTGGCCTGTGTGGCGGCAACGCTCTGACGGCCACGGGACTCGCAAGACTTAGAGGATCTGAAGGGAGCCGCTGAGAAGGTAAGAGTGTGCTGCGGGCCCTCCTGGACCCTGATGGCAGCTCTGGTCTGCATTATCGGCAATGTCGGTATCATTATTTACCGATATTGCTGAAAATACAGAATATCAGCCAGACCGATAATCGGTTGATCCCCAAGGCATCTGCGTTCCACAGATACTTATAACTTCTGCCAATACCGCGTCGGGTAAGACGAAGGTGCGCATGTGCTAGGAGTTTTTTTTTATTAACTTTTCCAGGACTTTGGAGGCTATATAACCCAGCAGCAACTGTTTGCCAGGTGCTCTTAGAATCTGTTGCAAGTGTATTCTCACCTGCTCTCCAGCACACTTTGAGGCCAATAAGATAAGACTTGTTGCTTTTCTTATTTGCTTCCAGCCTGATTCATATATTTTAATATTTTTATTTTTTATGAAATGCTGGAACACTTTATCAGCTTCCATCCCGAATATTCTGAAATTCTTATAGATGGGCTTTGCGAAAGGATTTAGACCTTCCACACTCAAGGTCCAGAGTTCTACAATCCGTTTCATCTCGTTTAGATGCTTGGCATCGAATATTCTAATTTCCAGGTTTTTCAAAGCTTTGTCTTGCTTGGTGCCAACCATCAGGAAAACTTTTTCCCCATGGGATCTCAATCTAGTGTTGACAGCGTTGTGTGAGCCTCCTTTTGATACGCTAGGGGAAGCATCTCTCAAGATTCTCTCTTTCAAAACTTTGTTTTTGGTGGTAATTACCTCTGCAAAACGTTTGCGTGAACTTCATGCTCTCAATTCAGTTTATCCTTTTTTGATTTTTTTTCCATCAGGGCAGGGTTATTTTAAAACTAGATCTATCCCAAAGTTTGTTCAACATCTAACGTGGATCAGTAGGTAATTCTACATATTTTATGCCATCACCCTTCTATTGCCTTAGAAGAGAAGTTTCATTGCATTGACGTTAAAAGATTTTTACTCCAATACTTACAAAGTTGAAGGTCCTTTAGAAAATCTTCCACACTTATTGTCCTCTTTCGTGGCACAAGAAAAAGTTTTCATGTAATCTAATGGTGCTCTGGCAAGATTGTGAAAGGATTCTATTAGTTTGGCATATTCATCCTCAGAGGTTCCTCCACCTAAATCCATTCAAGCATGTTCCACTAGAGCCATCTCCACGTCATGGGCCTTAAGTGCTTCAGCTACACTTTCGCAAATTTGTGTGGCAGCCACTTGGTTGTCTCTCCACACTTGTTTTAAACATTACAGGTTAGACATACTGGCCTCGGAAGAATCTTCTTTTGGGCGCAAGGTGTAACATGCTGTGGTTAAATGAGCCCCACCCTTAGGGATTGCTTGTGTTATCCGTGTCGTAATGCACTGCCTCTAATCTAAGGGAAAAGCATACATTTTTACTTGCTGTAAATTTTTCTCCTGAAGATTAGAGGCAGTGCACACTCCTCCCGCCACCCCCTTTTTTTCTAATTTATTATTGCAGTTTTTTTTTATTTTTTCTTACCTGGACATAACCCAGTTGCAATACCCTGGGTTACCTACATTTGAAAATGGTATGCAATGATGGAGTTATTTCAATCCTGGGCTACCATATGGTCTCAAAAGGCAACACAGATCCAGCAAACCAATCTGGCAAACTGAGTTGGGCAAGCCTTATATTGACCCTGTAACTTTCCAAAACACCATAAAACCTGTACATGGGGGATATTGTTATACTTGGGAGACTTCACTGAACACAAATATGAGTGTTTAAAACCGTAAAAACTGACACGACGATGAAATCACAGTAAAAGTGCAGTTTTTGTGGAGAAAAAAAAATGCAAAAAAGAAAAAATGAACGCTAACTTTGGCATGTGTTTGTGGCTACTACAAAAGACTGGACATACCCTATTTTGAATACTGTGGGTTGTCTACTTTTACAAATGATATGGGGTTAATTTTCATTCCTGGGCTGCTATACGGTCTCAAAGGCAACATAGGCTCAGCAAACCAATCTGGCAAATTTCAATGTGCAAAGATGGAATAGGGGAAAGCCCTACGTTTGGCCCCTGTAAGTTTGCAAAAGCCCATGAGACCTGTACATTGGGGGGCACTGTTTAGGGATCGACCGATATTGATTTTTTTTTTTTTTAGAGCCGATACTGATATTCTGTGAACTTTCAGGCCGATAGCCGATATAATTTGCCGATATTCTGTACATTTACCATTTTGGAAAATAAAAACTATTTCTAAAGGTAAATGCACAAAATATACATGCCACATGTAGTGGATGCAGTGTGACAGGGGAGCTGTGTGTTTGTGTAGTGTAGTGTAGCAAACACACTGCATTATATACACACACTATGCAAACACACTGCATTATATACACACACTATGCAAACACACTGCATTATATACACACACTATGCAAACACACTGCATTATATACACACACTATGCAAACACACTGCATTATATACACACACTATGCAAACACTGCATTATGTACACACACTATGCAAACACACACTGCATTATAGAAACACACTATGCAAACACACACTGCATTATAGAAACACACTATGCAAACACACACTGCATTATAGAAACACACTATGCAAACACACACTGCATTATAGAAACACACTATGCAAACACACACTGCATTATAGAAACACACTATGCAAACACACACTGCATTATAGAAACACACTATGCAAACACACACTGCATTATAGAAACACACTATGCAAACACACTGCATTATATACACAGTGTTTGTGTAGTGTGTTTGTGTAGTGTGTGTATATAATGCAGTGTGTGTGTTTGTATAGTGTGTATATAATGCAGTGTGTGTATAGTGTGTGTGTATATAATGCAGTGTGTGTATAGTGTGTGTATATAATGCAGTGTGTGTTTGTATAGTGTGTGTGTATATAATGCAGTGTGTGTTTGTATAGTGTGTGTATATAATGCAGTGTGTGTTTGTATAGTGTGTGTGTATATAATGCAGTGTGTGTTTGTATAGTGTGTGTGTATATAATGCAGTGTGTGTTTGTATAGTGTGTGTGTATATAATGCAGTGTGTGTGTATATAATGCAGTGTGTGTTTGTATAGTGTGTGTATATAATGCAGTGTGTGTTTGTATAGTGTGTGTTTGTATAGTGTGTGTTTGTATAGTGTGTGTTTGTATAGTGTGTGTTTGTATAGTGTGTGTTTGTATAGTGTGTGTGTGTTTGTATAGTGTGTGTGTGTTTGTATAGTGTGTGTGTGTTTGTATAGTGTGTGTTTGTATAGTGTGTGTGTTTGTATAGTGTGTGTGTTTGTATAGTGTGTGTTTGTATAGTGTGTGTGTTTGTATAGTGTGTGTGTTTGTATAGTGTGTGTGTATTAGGGATCGACCGATATTGATTTTTCAGAGCCGATACCGATACCGATATTCTGTGAACTTTCAGGCCGATAGCCGATATAATTTGCCGATATTCTGTACATTTACCATTTTGGAAAATAAAAACTATTTCTAAAGGTAAATGCACAAAATATACATGCCACGTTTAGTGGATGCAGTGTGGCAGGGGAGCTGTGTGTGTTTGTGTAGTGTGTGTGTAGTGGATGCAGTGTGTGTTTGTGTAGTGTGTGTTATGGATGCAGTGTGTGTTTGTGTAGTGTGTGTGGAGGATGCAATGTGTGTTTGTGTAGTGGATGCAGTGTGTATTTGTCTAGTGTGTGTATTAGTGTAGTGTGTATATAATGAAAGCAGAGTGTTTGTGTAGTGTGTGGGTAGTGTGTGTAAAGTGAATGCTGTATATACTAAATGCAAAGTGTGTGTGTATATAATGAATGCAGAGTGTGTGTGTATTTGTGTAGTGTCTGTATAGTGAATGTAGTGTGTTTATATAATGCAGAGTGTGAGTTTGTATAGTGTGTATATAATGCAGTGTGTTTGTGTAGTGTGCATTATATAAACACACTACACAAACACACTGCATTATATACACACACACACACTGCATTATATACACACACACACACTACACAAACACTGCATTATATATACACACTACACAAACACACACTGCATTATATACACACACTATACAAACACACACTGCATTATATACCCACACTATACAAACACACACTGCATTATATACCCACACTACACAAACACACACTGCATTATATACACAGTGTGTTTGTGTAGTGTATATAATGCAGTGTGTGAGGGGGCATTTTTTATTAAATTATTAAAAAAAAAAAAAATTATTTACTTAATTATTATTTATTTCTGTTGTCCCCCCTCCCTGCTTGTTACCTGGCCAGGGAGGGGGGATATAGCAGTCCCTGGTGGTCCAGTGGTATTGCTGAGCTTTGGGGGGGGCGGGCAGCAAGCGCTTACTCACCTCCCAGCAGCTCCTCCAGCTCCCTAGTGCAACTCTCGCGGCCAGCGTGTCGCGCGGAGCGTTGCCATGGTGATCCATGGCAACGCTCTGACGGCCGCTGGTCTCGCGAGAGTTGCACTGGGGAGCTGCTGGGAGGTGAGTAAGCGCTTGCTCTCCGCCCCCCCAGGACCGCCGGGTTTGTAATGAGCCCGGCGGTCCCAGGAGGTATTATCGGCAATATCGGTATCTGAATTGGCCGATACCGATATTGCCGAGAATACCGAATATCGGCCGATTATATCGGTAAAACCGATAATCGGTCGATCCCTAGTGTGTATATAATGCAGTGTGTGTTTGTATAGTGTGTGTATATAATGCAGTGTGTGTGTTTGTGCAGTGTGTGTGTATATAATGCAGTGTGTGTGTTTGTATAGTGTGTGTATATAATGCAGTGTGTGTGTTTGTATAGTGTGTGTATATAATGCAGTGTGTGTTTGTATAGTGTGTGTATATAATGCAGTGTTTGTATAGTGTGTTTGTGTGTGTGTGTATGTATAATGCAGTGTTTGTAGTGTGTGTATACAAGCACACAAATACACTGCATTATATACACACACACCATACAAACACACTGCATTATATACACACACACCATACACACTGCATTATATACACACACCATTATATACACACTGCATTATATACACACCATACAAACATTAAATACGCAGTGTTTTTGTGTAGTGTATGTGTATATAATGGAGTGTGAGGTGGCATTTTTTTATTAAATTATTTTTTTTATATATTTAATTATTTATTTTTGTTGTCCCTCCTCCCTGTTTGTTACCTGGCCAGGGAGGGGGGATATAGCAGTCCCTGGTGGTCCAGTGGCATTGGCTGAGCTTTGGGGGGGGCAGAGAGCAAGCGCTTACTCACCTCCCAGCAGCCCCTCCGGCTCACCAGTGCAACTCTCGCGGCCAGCGAGAGTTACACTGGGGAGCTGCTGGGAGGTGAGTAAGCGCTTGCTCTCCGCTCCCCCAGGACCGCCAGGCTTGTAATGAGCCTGGCGGTCCTAGGAGGTATTATCGGCAATATCAGTATCTGAATTGGCCGACACCGATATTGCCGAGAATACCGAATTTCGGCCGATTATATCGGTAAAACCGATAATCCGTCGATCCCTAGCACTTTTGTACCCCGGAGATGTTGCTGAACACATATTGGGTTGTTCTTTGTCAGTAACACATAACAGGAACTGAGAATCCATGCCTAAAGTACAATATGAGAGAACAATAACACACAAAAAAAGTGATTACCCAAAAGTTTGAAAAAGATTGGTGGAAGAATTAGTGCATGGCAACTGTTATAATACCACCATTTGAAATACCCTAGGGTGTCTACTTCTAAAAAATATATGGTTTGATGGGGGTAAATTACATTGGCCAACTTCAAAAATGTCCCAACGTGGGTGCATGATGACCAGCTGGGAAAATTCCAAGTTGGAAAACTAGAATTCGTACCCTCCAATTAAGGTCTTTTAGCCCACAGAGAACCCGACACACTTATACATGGGGGATTTCACTGTACCTAGATGTTGCTGAACACATATTGAACACACAACGTTCTCAGTACATGTATTCTTAAATTGCTATGTGTGTTTTTTTTTTTTTGTTTTTTTTTTACATTTGGCATAGATTGGTGGTAAAATGGTTGCAGGAAAAGAGTCAAAATACCCCATGTTTAATACCTTAGGTTGTCTTCTTTTAAAAAATATATACATTTGAAGGGTTATTCAGGGATTCCTGACAGATACCAGTGTTACATTGTAAAATGTGTTAATTTTGAAAAAATTGTTTGGAAATGGCAAAGTGCTACTTGTACGTATAGCCCTGTAACTTTCCAAAAAAAGCTAAGAACATTGCGTATTTCTAAACTCAGTACAAAACGTAGAAACTATTTAGCACGGGTGTTTTTTTGGCATTTGTAGATGCTTAACAGATTTTGGGGGTCAAAGTTAGAAAGTTTTATTTGTTTTTTTTTGTGTGTTTTTACATCATATTTTATAAAAAAAAAATTCATAGTAAATTATATGATGAAAATAATGGTATCTTTAGAAAGACCATTTAATGGCGAGAAAAACAATATATAATGTGTGGGTACAATAAATGGCAAGAGGAAAATTACAGCTAAACACAAACACTGCAGAAATGTAAAGTACAAATTTATGCTTTCTTGCATATGTAAATTTGACTGTTCAACTAGATCACTAGTCTCAACCGAAGATACTAATTCAGCATGAATCAGAAATTTTTTTTTTTTTTTAATTACTGCTCTTTCATTGTATGTATCTAAATGGCTCATGTGTTGGGCCTAACAGGTTGTTCTGGTGTTTCTTAAAATCTTGCTAGTCATTCTACAGTAAGAGTACATCTTAATTTGGAAATAAAATACGAATAATACCAGATAATTATAATTGCTTAATCACTCTAAGCTGTATTTAGACATTTCTTAATTAATTCAAACTTTTGTCAGCATGTTGTTTTGATTGTATGTATACTGGTGATCCTGTTGACCAAATATGTTGAGGATTAAAGGTCTTTTTTAAAGTAGTATTAATTATTTTCTAACTTCTGCAAAATTTAATATTTGAAGAAGCAAATGGCACAATACATAGAATCAAACTACTACGCCACAGTAAGACATGGTATTTCCATGAACTTTAATGTTTTTTTTATTTTTAGTATACTATCCTTTACTAATATCTGAACTAAAAACCATACCATAAATTCATATTTACAGTAGCATAACTGGACTAGAAAACAAATTTAGTCTCTTCACAGGCAGCTTCATTGTCAAATCAAATTGCTATATTGTACATATCATTGCAATCTGGATATTTAGCAGCATCCCAGAAGCAGCCTCTGATTTCCTTAACCTAGTCAGATTTGAAAATTCCATTTAAATGCACTTGGATTTATTGAATTTTTAGCCAGCTACACATATAGTGTTGGTAAATCTAGACTGTTTCTAAGTGTTTTGGAATTAAGGATATTTATTTTAATTTTATTTTGTAATGCATAAATCTCCTGGTTTATTAGATGCGTTTTTCTATGTGCATAGTATATGAGCATGAATACACCCTCTGGATAACTGGACTTTATTTTCTGTTCATTTAAGTCATCTGTATTGGGGTTTTATGGTTCATTTGACACTTACTAGAGAACTTAGTGCTTGGGAAATTTGTCAACTTTCTTAGGAAATTTTAGGCTTTCATTTATTGGCCTGTGTTTGAGCTTGGTGGGCATCATGGGAAGTGTAGTCTACAATAGCTGCTGAATCATATAATTGGCAGTCAGTTTAACTATATAATTTTCATATTCAGTTTTTTTATTTTCCCATTACAATTTAATAATCCTCACTAATTCACTACTTTGATCTTTCTGTGTACCTGGAACATTGATTAAACTTCACTGCTAAATTTTTCCTAAATCTTGTCTCGTTATAGGACTGGGAAAGAGGGACAACCACGAGAATACTATACACTGGATTCCATCTTGTTCCTGCTCAATAATGTCCATCTCTCTCATCCAGTGTATGTGCGACGTGCTGCAGTGAGTACATGCCTTCCTTGAATGATTGTTTTGCAAGATTATTTTTAAGGTGTAAAGTATGCAAAACAAATAAAGGGCCACTAAAGTAACACAGACCACTTCATCTCATTGGTCTGGGTTACTTTAGTTGCCCTTTAACACTTAACCAAGAATGTAATCTGTGCTATAACCATACCTAAAGCAGGGGCTGAACTGTGTGCATTTAGGGGCTCTCATTCAATGTTTACCCCCTCAAAAATGGTATTAGGGGGATGTTGCCAGGGGACTCCAGCCAATATAACCCATTCAGTTAGATGAAATGGTTAGTGACTAGAGTTTCTCTTTGAAGGGACACTGTCATTTGTTTCCCTCTGTTTCCCTTTAATTATGCCCCTTGTATCTTAATGATTATCTCCCCCACTGTTTGCCACTTGCGTTTTAGTTATACATATTTTCTTTCACATTTTATTCTCCTCTGTCCATGGGGTCTGTAGTTTGCCCTTCTGTGGAATTCTTTTAACTGGTGAATTGTGGCTAAATTAGCATAACCGCTGAAATGGAACTTTAAATAAGCTGTGCCCGTTTCTCTCTATTAGAAAAAGTAGCCAGTACGATATCTACTGTACAGCTATGGTGAATTAAAAATAAATAAATAAAAAAATGCCAAGTGGAAATACAGGTGCAAAAAATAAATTAAAAACAAAACCTACAAAGTGACAGTGCAGCTATTAATTTCATTGACGTTCGTAATGTATTCAAAAAACTATGCTTCACATAAATTTTTGTTGCAGTTGGTGAAATGTACATTTTATTGCTAGTCTAAGAATTTTCTTTCTGTCTGTTTTTAACTTTGTGATTTATAATATTTCATATTTTTTCAGACTGAAAACATTCCTGTGGTTAGAAGACCTGATAGAAAGGACCTTCTTGCATACTTAAATGGGGAAACATGTAAGTAGCCCTTATACTGTGTTCTTATTTCCAAAGACAATGTGTGGTCAAAAGTATGTGGGAACACTTTCTAATTAATGGACAATTCTATTTTAAACCATGTTGCTGACAGGTGATAAAAATCAAGCACACAGCCACGCAAGTAGCAATAGATTGCCCAGTGCTGCAGAGTTTGATGTTCAGTGTGACAATCATTAAGTGCCACCTTTTTATTTTTCATCAAGCTATCATGCTGTTTGGCAGTACACACCGTATACCTTCTGCTCACTGTTCTGCTGAACAGAAAACATTATTCACAGGTGTGGTAAAGCCACACAAGCACACCAAGCTGGCTGGCCTAAGCTTGTTGCTCTTAGTGCGTTAAAGTCTGTTCCGGGAAAAATGAAAAATCTTGAAGCAAGAACTCTGTAGATTCAGTTTCCATATTTAATGACCCACACATAACCCTATTTACAGTTGTTCCAGCATGCTCAAACATTATAGATTATTTTATGCTTTTGTCTTTGAGAACATGTTTTCATCATGACATTACCACGGTCTACAATGCTAGTTCCATGCAGAACCCTATTAAACACGTGATCCAATATACTAGACATGAGACTGAAGCTACCTAGGTGCCAACAAATATTTAAAATAATGCAAACATCACGAGTCTCTGAGGTGCTGCTATCCCCCCACAATGTGACTCCATCAGTGGTAAACAAAATCAGAAATGAAAAAGGAGGGAAGAGCTCCAGTGTGCTGTGCAAGAGGTGTTACAATATTTATTGGAGAACAAAGATATTTTGCAAATGTTTGTCCTTCAAGGGACACTATAGCCACCAGAACAACTACAGCTTAAAGGGACACTATAGTCACCTAAATTACTTTAACTAAATAAAGCAGTTTTAGTGTATAGATCATTCACCTGCAATTTCACTGCTCAATTCACTGTCATTTAGGAGTTAAATCACTTTATGTTTATGCAGCCCTAGCCACACCTCCCCTGGCTATGATTCTCAGAGCCTGCATGAAAAAAAAAACTGGTTTCACTTTCAAACAGATGTAATTTACTTTAAATAATTGTATCTCAATCTCTAAATTGAACTTTAATCACATACATGAGGCTCTTACAGGGTCTAGCAAGCTATTAACATAGCAGGGGATAAGAAAATCTTAAACAGAACTTGCAATAAAGAGAGCCTAAATAGGGCTCTCTTTACAGGAAGTGTTTATGGAAGGCTGTGCAAGTCACATGCAGGGAGGTGTGACTAGGGTTCATAAACAAAGGGATTTAACTCCTAAATGGCAGAGGATTGAGCAGTGAGGCTGCAGGGGCATGTTCTATACACCAAAACTGCTTCATTAAGCTAAAGTTGTTCAGGTGACTATAGTGTCCCTTTAATGTATTTGTTCTGTTGAGTATAATAGCTCCCATCAGGTATTTTTATGCAAATACTGCCTTTTCAGAGTAAAGGCAGTGTTTACATTGCCCCTAGGGACACCTCCAAGTGGCCACTCCTCAGATGGCCACTGGAGGGGCTTCCTGGCTCAGGGCTGCACAGTAGGCAGCCCTGCCATTCAGCGTCCCCACGCTCTGCATGAGTCGCTGAATTTTCAATGCATCTCTACGAGGAGGTGCTGATCGGCTAAAATGGCATTTGATGATGATGATTTTGATGTCACCAAGGGGACGGGGCCATCACCGGCAGACCTGTGGAGAGCTAAAACCCATTTTTTGGAAGGGGATAAGGGGGTGTGGCAATCCACCAAAATGGTGGGTTTTCACTATAGGGTCAGGAATACATGTTTGTGTATTAATTTTTAATTTCTGATTTTATTTTTTATTTTTTTTCATTTCTCACTATTAAATGTCCAATCATCCAACATCGGTGCTCACCCTCACAAATGCTCTTGTGTCTGAATTGTAAGCAATTCCTCCTGGCAGAGTTCACCATCTAGTGGAAAACATTCCTAGAAAAGTGAAGGCTATTAAAGCAACAAAGACTGGATTGACTCAATTTTACTGCCTGTATTTTGTAGTGAAGTGGTCTGAGTGCAATGTTCCAGGTCCCTTAATCATGAGCATGTAATTATTGCAGTTTTAATGAACTGCAATAATTATCTGATAGGGTTGATTCCTTGTCTAGTGGACAGCCACCAGAGGGACTTCTAGGCTTTTTTGGATCGCCTAAATGATGCTGTACATCCTCATGCTATGGACTTCCAGCATCACTGGAATCTCCATAGGAAAGCATTAAATAATTGGGGAAATCCTAATGTAAGCGGCCATTGCCGTGCATGCACATTAGGTCTCCCCTGCCGGCTGACGTCGGCGTGGGAGGAGCGCGGGTGCCGCCGAAGGACATTGATGCTGGACCTAGGTACACAACGGGGGGGAAGCCTTGACAGAGGTAAGCTATAGTGCCAGGAAAATTAGTTTCTTTTCCTGGCACTATAGTTTCCCTTTGAGCAGGTTTTGTTTTTGCCAATCTACAATGTATATCAAAGTTCATGGCCCTTGACAATATTAATTACATTTTATTTGTGTAATTGTGTATTGGGAGGTAACTATATCATTGCTTTACAGGAATATTTTTAATTGAATCTGTCACAGCTGTGAACAATTACCTTCCTTCTACTTTTTCATTTTGTAATTGATTATAATAAAGCTTCATTATTTTGTAAAGCCATTTGGTTCTTTAGAGTGTAAAGAGAGTTAATATGCAGATGCTTTCATTCATTTCCTTGATCGTAAAAAGGGACACTGTTGGCAGCATATACACTTTAGTTTACTGAAGTGGCTATGGTGCTATTCGTTTGACAAAAGTGGCCATTTGAATTTTTCAGGAAACTTTCTTATCCCATTATGTCTCCAATTTATTTCTCTGCAGCTACATCTGCAAGTATAGACAGAAGTGCACCGCTTGAAATTGGTCTTCAGAGATCCACACAAGGTATTGTTCAAAATGCTTTTACATGCATTCCTTTACCCAGAATGGTTTATCAATATTGGTGATTACACACAAGCATTGGTGGTGTGAGTGCAATACTTTTATACAGTGAAACACATGAGTACACTAGTAATAGAAAAAGCCCGTAAGCTTCTTCTCATGTGCTTTTTTTTTTTTAATTTTATTTTTTTAGTAGTTTTATACAAAGATGAGCTATCCGCTTAAAAGCAGAGTGAATTTGAAAGTTGATGCATAGAGCATTTAAGAAATAAGAAATGGTGTATGCTTGTGGTGTGACTTCACATGCTGCTTCTTTACTAAGGGGCCAGTATTGAATTGAATGTGTGATGGCATAATTTGTATTTTTGCAATCTTTGCATCATGTCACAAATATGCTTCTGGCAACATGCCAAAAAAAGAAAATAACTGTATTAGAGTGAATTAAAGAATTAGATTTAGAATTTTTTTTTTCTTCGAATTTCTGCCAGATAAGGATTTCTACACCATGATGAAAAGCAAAACATGTACAGAAAAGGAAAGTCTTGGGGTAATTTTGTTTAGGGGATTTGAAAATTTTAAATGTTTTTAATGTTTTGGACTGAACAAATATTAGGGTTCAGGGAATTCCATAGGGAATAATAAAGTCAAAGTATATTTCATAGTACTGTTAAGGTGGTGAAGAAATATAGTTTTTAAACTATGACGCCGTAACATCTCGGATGCCAAGGTTTGCTTAGAAGATTTAAATGAAGTATGCAAAAGTTGAAATGAATGTTATGAATTATTTGGTTTTGTTTCTATTAGTTAAACGAGCTGCAGACGAGATCTCAGCAGAGGTAAAGAAGCCACGGGTTGAGGTAAGTGTTGCACATTACAATTTGGGATAACAAAATCAAATGAACCAGTCTTGCGAATAGTGGTCAATTTACTTAAATGTAATTTTCAGGTATTGGGCACTGGTTTTTGTTCAAGTAAGGAATATCCCTACTAGGGCTGCCTGTTGGTGGATTGCTGGATTTAAAAAAAATAAAATAATTTATTTTAAAGGAACACAATGTTGTCAGGAAATCAAACATGTGTTCCTGACACTTTAGCGTTAAACACACTGTTTAGATCCTTGCCACCACTCCCCCACACCCCTTCTGTCAGATCAGTGAAAGGTGTTTAATGATCTCAGCCATGGTGTAAAAGGTCAGTTTAAAGTTGAAAAATTTGGAAATTAACTTACTTTCCAAAGCTGGCTGGGAAAGCGGTAATGGTCTTCTCTAACCCGTAGGGGTCACTGTAGTTAAAACTTGCTAATGATAACTCTCAGATAAGAAGATAATGCAGCTGTAAAGTTAAAGATAAATATGTAGCAACAATAGGGATCTAACAATATGGGCCACACTTGTATTAATACAGCAGAGTCTCTGAAAAAAGAGCATAGGTTTGTGAATCAAAAATGAAGTATTTAAATAAGGCAGGGAGACTTAAAAAGGCTGTTACTTAATCTTACTAAACTCAATGAATTGCTACCTTATCACTGAATATTTGCCAGCCAGTCTACATCTTAGAATAGAAAAAAAATAGTACAAAAACAAAAGTAGAAATGAAAAGTAGTTAAATCAGTCATTGGTCAAGTAAAGTGCAACAGCATGCAACGAGTGTTTCACCCATTGCTTCGGGATCATAAAGAGTTTATAACATGCTTATCATTGTGAATCTCCCTTATAATATTGTATGTTTCAAAGCAGTGCTACTAATGCAATATGTCCTAACAGGATGAGGAACGTGTCCGTCTCGACAAGGAGCGTTTGGCTGCAAGGCTGGAAGGCCATAAAGAAGGCATTGTGCAGACAGAACAAATTCGGTAAACTAACTTTTGCACTGCTTATTTTTTCTTTGCCATGAAATAACACACATTAAATGGACTGCCATTGTATTATTAATATAATGGTTTCTCAACAACCTGCAGATTTACAAATATATAAAAATATGTAATAAATTCTTCAACAGTTGCTTGTGTCTTGGTTTAACAGTTGGCATGTTGATTATTTCTCCCATTGCCTCCTTTTATATTACACTATAGAATAAATAGCCCCCCTCATCAAACTAGCTTTAAGGCCTTTTAAAATGTTTTAAAACTCTTAACTCAAGTAAAAAGTATTTACCTAAACATAAATGTTATGTAGGTAAACCTGCCATTATTTACAGAGAACCCTTTTTTTTTGTCAGCTACATTTTACTAATGTAATAACTTTTGAGTTTTAACTCGCACTACCTCTGCTGTTCTCAACGAAAAATCATCTGATACGGATCATATCAAAATTAAGAAAGTAACGGCATTCAGCCAAAAACATTTAGAATGTCTTATGGTTGTGCAGTTGGTGAAAATGCCTAGGTATTTGTAACCTAGTCCTCCAGAATTTGAAGACTTTTAATACATTGTTATGAACATTGTTACATTATATTTTCAATAAAATACGCTGTTTTTTTTCCAGATCACTGTCAGAAGCAATGTCTGTCGAGAAAATTGCTGCGATCAAAGCAAAGATCATGGCAAAGAAAAGGGGTACGATCAAAACCGATCTGGATGACGACATTACTGCATTAAAACAGAGAAGCTTTGTAGATGCTGAAGTTGATGTCACAAGGAGCATTGTCAGCAGAGAGAGAGTATGGAGAACAAGAACAACTATTTTACAGAGTACAGGCAAAGTGCGTGCTATTTTTTTTTTGTGTGCTTTTTTCCCCCTCTTCTATATATTTAACTTGCCGATTTTAGTTTTCAAATTTGGCTTTTTTGACTTACAATTTGAAATTCCCTGGTCAGTTTACAATAATTCACAGTTTAGTTAATAGCCCTTTACGTTTCTACACTTTGACGCCTGCTCCTCTTTGCTTGTGGAATATTTCTCCAAAAGTAACTGATGAAGTAACTCCATTTGAGATTCACTTGCATTTCCTTTTTACTGTTCGTTACAGTAATTACACTTCACGTCTGTAGCTCTTGGACAAAAGATGTGATGATAAATTTAAAGTTGTCTGCCATGATAGGTATTTCGTCATTCATCATTCTTTTTATGGAAGATAGACACTCTTCTGGATTGAAATGTGTGCCTTATAGTTGTCTTGAATCATTTCCAAAAGTGATGCAAGACAACTGCACCTTGCATGCAACCAGACACACTTTGTCAACTTCAGGTTTGTCCTAAAGTGACTGTTATGCCCAAAACAACTTATGCTTATTATATTCTGTCTCTGCATTGTGCTAGCAGTTTTGCTACAGATGTATAGATTGAGAGGAAAAAAACTATTTAACCCTTGTGAAAATAAAACTTAAAACAATTGTTATCCCCTCCTACTCATCCCTTATATGCTGCCATTCCCAAAGTTACTTCAGTTCTTTCTTGTCCAGCCGCAGGACGGACAGGCAACCTTTGTTGTTTTTTTTTTTACTAGGTTGATAAGGCATCACAAAAGTTATTGTTGCATGAGGGAGGCAATCTAATAGATCCCTTTGCATCAGGCTGCAGGACATGTTCTTTAAACCTTGCGGGATTACAGAGTGTTGTTTCTGGTTTTTTGTTTTTTTTGGCCTGTAGCAAGTGCGCTATTCAAGCTCCAGATTGATGCAAGAAAATGTTGTGCTTCCAATGTTCTGTTAGAAAACTGCATCCAAAGCAGTAGGAGATGCAGTCTTTTCTAACCTGGTTTCAATATAATCTGACATCTGAAACGGTTAGTCAGTGGAAACAATCCAGATAGTCTGTCCGGCACAGATCGAGATAAAAGTCCTCTTCTCATTCTGACTTTTCTGGCGATTGCTCACCCTCCTCTGTATATGATCCAGCCAAGACTCAAGTATGGATTCAGGTTTTCCAACAGAAGAGCTAAATAAGTTCATCCAACGGGTTGCAGCTATTTTGCAGGAAGGTGAAACTTCTAAGAGAAAAGGGAAAGGTTTTTCTATACGTCCTAAACTTCTGTTATTAGTTCAGCGACACTGGAAAAACACTGAGGAAAGGGCATTTATTTCCAGGCATTTAAAACATATATTCAAACTGTGAGATGAGGAGAATTGGGAACATTCAGGTGGCTCAACTGTTGAATAAGACCATGCAATGCATGGAAATAACAAATTAATCCACAGATTTGGAGCACAAGAGCAGACTGGTACAGCATTCAGTTTTTGCAAAGACCTGCACCAAAATTTTTGGTTTCTTCATACCCATTTCAGTTTAAAACAGAAGTGCTTTTATCAGAATCCCAGATCCTTTTAGGATAGGATCTAAAAGATCCAAATGCAAAACAGGAGTTCCAAGGGGTATACTCAAGACATTTTTTCCCCCCCCCTCCTATACTGGATATAGAGACATTGACTTAGCATACAATAACAAAGGTTTTGTATAGAGACCATTCTTTGTCACCTCCACGTTACAAAAAGTAGACTACATGATAACGAACTCATGACGGTTACCTCAAGATAAGATTTGCAACCAAGTAGGGGGAGGAAGATCCTGCTTTTCCGATTTAGGGCCTATCTTTTGGCCTGGTTTTAGCGCAGAGGATTTTAACAAATATTCTGATTCCATTGGCTGCCGCTCTAAGAAAAGTGTTTCCATCGTCCCGTATCTAAACTATTGGTTCCTCAAAACTAAGAGTCAATTACCGATCAACATTCAAACCACAATACATTTACTACATAAGCATGGTTGGATAGTCAACTGGGAGAATGCTCAACTTTCTCCTACTACAAAGATTCAGTTCCTGGGTCTTTTATTTGATTCTGCATCACTTTCACTGTATCTGCCTGCACAGAAGATGAAGATAATCAAGAAAGAAATTTTATTCTATCTTCAGACATAGCCAACATGTTCTGTCAGAAGGGCTATGAGTACTCTGGGTGTTATCACTTCCTCTATTCTGGCAGTATAGTGGGCAAAAGCAGAATTGAGACCTCCTAAATGGTTTATTTTGAGGAATTGGTCAAAAAGATCTAGGTGCAGAATTCAGTCTCGCCACAAAAGTGTAACCAGCTAAAATTGTGGAGAGACTCAAAGTTTGTCCTTCGTATTCTCTTTCCAATCAAGGGAATGGTTCACTATTCCAAAAGATGCCTAAAAGTTTGGCTGGAGCGCGCATTTTTATACATTTGGTCTGCGGTAGAGAACTGCTTAATCATCTATGGAATTAAAACAGATGTCCCTAGCATCTTAGAAACTACCAACCTTAGACATTCTTGTACAACAGGACATCCAAAATGGCATGGCTACTGCAAGGCTGACTCATAAAAAATGAAGGGGTTCAGGAACATATGATGGACCTTCTTCTTAATACAACTAGATCTACATCCAAGATTTATGAGCATATGGAAGAGAAATTCTCATCTGGTGTAGGGATCGTGACTGCCTGAATGTCATTCCTGCTTTTAAAACCATTTTCTGCAAGGTGGTTTGACTGCTGGCCTTCCGCCATTTATTAATTCAGGACTTTGCCTCCAAAGTACTTATTAGTAAATTCTAAAGCGGCCATACTCAGACGGCCTCCATGCAAGTACTTGTTTCATACTTGGGATTGATCACTTGTGCTCAGAGCTCTGTGTAAGTCTCCTTTTGAATGTTTTGAAGAGTTTCTTTTAAACTGTTATAAAAACTGCTTTTTTGGTGGCAATTACATCTGACATGAGTAGATGAGATTAAAGTGCTTCCCTTTGTAGAGGAAATGTGACTAAATCTCTATTTTACATTGAAAACATTGTAACTTTGTGTAATATGATGTATTCAGTGTATATGAGGACAATTTAAGGTATTTAAATTTTTTTATTTTTTAGCAGGTTCATTCTAAAACAAAGTAATCTTTACTTTGTCTTATGGAATCTTTGGAGTTTTACTGAAATTCCAGTGCAGTCAGCATTTGTATTTCATAAAAAGTATCCCTGTATGTTGTTTCACAAGTGACAGATCCACTTTAGTGAATGTAATAATATAAGCCAACCTGTAGATGGCAGACTTGTACTTCAAATGTCCCATTTTGATTTATTTTTGTATGTTTGCCATTCATCCGTAACATGACGCGTCTTTATAGCTAATATATCAGCTCCATTATCTATTTTATGTTGCATGCGTATCGATCTGCGGATCTTGCCTTTTATTTGAAGTTACTATTAAAGCCCTTAAATTTAAAGGCAACATGTATTGGGGAGTATGAGTTTGCAACAAATTTAAATTAAGTGTTTTCATTGTAATTTGTTAACATGCACAGTGTCTGATATTTTTACATCAAAACATATCTGTTGTAATGGGAAATTCTTTTTCTCTTTTCTAGAATTTTGCAAAGAATATATTTGCAATTCTTCAGTCCGTAAAAGCAAGAGAAGAGGGCCGTGCTCCAGAGCAAAGACCAACTCAGACAGCAGCAGCATCCGTAAGCATATCAGTGTTGAATACTGGGCATTAGCCTTTTGCCTAAAACAGATACCATAAAGCATTCAATATATCATGAACGGTATTGTAGAAAACAGTGAGGTTTTCTTAATAGCAGATGTCCCATAAAATTTTTGTTGGTTTAGATTGTTATTGATACACGTATCATGTGCATTTTAGAATTGGTTGTGTAGATTACCTTTGTAAAGAAACACACCTACAAGTTTATTCAGTAGTTTTCAAACTGTACTGAATTCAAATATTTTGTTTGTGATACACAGCTGTATAGTTCTTTGATAAAGCCTAATGCAGACATAGGCAACCTTCGGAACTCCAGATGTTTTGTACTACACCTACCATGATGCTTTGCCATCATTAAGGTTGTAAGAGCATTGTGGAAGATGTAGTCCACAACATCTGGAGTGCCGGAGGTTGCCTTTGACTGGCCTAATGTAAAGGGCAGTGGTGTCTAGAATTTTATGACAACCAGGATCATTGCCTCTTAAACTGCTAAGATTGTGGATTTCCCAGGAATACAGTTGAGGTGAATTTCTGATAAAAAATTTTTTTTCTTTTTCTATATGCATAGTCCTAATGGACTGGAAAATGCAGGTTTTAGGACACACATTAATATATAGTATATTCTGTTTTGCAGGACCCAACATTAAGGACCAAGCAGCCTGTCCCAGCTGCCTACAATAGGTACGATCAGGAAAGATTTAAAGGCAAAGAAGGTGAGTATTCTCTGTGTATATGTTAAATGTAAGGCATGTTTGTTTTAATGGAAACATCCACAAAGAGACACTCCAGTGTTGTGTAGTAGTTATAGTGCCCTGGTGTCCCCCCTCTCCACCATGTAAGTAGTCAAAGTTTTAAATGGTGTCTCCTTACCTGAAGTCTACCTGAAGCAGTTGCCTGTTCATTTCTTGAATTAAAGGACCACTATAGGCACCCAGACCACTTCAGCTTAATGAAGTAGTCTGGGTGCCAGGTCCATCTAGGATTAACCCTGCCTGCTGTAAACTGCCATGTTTACCTATGGGTTAATACAGCCTCTAGTGGCTGTCTCATTGACAGCCGCTAGAGGCGCTTCTCACTGTGATTTTTCACAGTGAGAAGACGCCAGTGTCATGGGAAAGCATTGAGAATGATTTCCTATGGACTGGCTGAATGCGCGCGCGGCTCCTGCCGTGCATGCACATTCAGCCGATGACCGCTATATGGAGGAGAGGAGGAGGACAGTTCCCCGCCCAGCGCTGGGGGGGGAAAAGGTAAATTTAACCCCTTCCACCCCCTAGAGCCTGGCAGGAGGGGGGCCCTGAGGGGGGTGGGGGGGGGGGCGTGGGGGACATAGAGACCCTATAGAGCCAGGAAAAAGAGTGTTTTCCTGGCACTATAGTGGTCCTTTAAGCCATGGATCGCCAGGGAGAGAGCTTGTGCCTCTCTGAGGGCAGGGTACAACACCCAGCAAACTCCAAATAAGAGGTTGAACTATTCTAAAACATTGGGTGGAGGAGTGGCACCTGGACACTCATAGCTTCGTAACGACTACAGCAAAATGTAGTTATGGTAATTGCATAGTTCATTTATGCTAAGGAATATCATCTTGCTGTCTCTTGAAAATTCTGTGCTTGGTGTTTACAAGTGTTTAGGGAAAGAAGAGAATCTGAGCAGTACCTGCACTAAAATGAAGGAGCTGAAGACTGCAATTCACTTGGAGGTCACTGTAGTTACAAATAATTGGTTAAATGTTTTGCATTGTGCCCCTGTTTTTAGGTGGGGTGGTTTAAATTAAATTAAATTAAATTAAAACTGCTGGGATAATATTTGCGTAAACCTTTGTACCTTACTGCTAACAATGTTGCCTTATAAAAATGACTTGATAATGAAAGTGAGTCAAGTTGAATTAGCAGCTGAATAACTCTGCTTTGATTTGGTAACTAAATTGATACCGGGGGAGAGTATGCATACTTGTGCACTACCCCATTGCCTAGCACACATTCCCAGCATTACATTCATGCAGGAAGCTTCACAACCCAGGAACAAAACATGGTTCAGTAAATCTCTTTATCTTTCACGTTAAAAGTTGGATTTCTCAGTCCAATTTGTGATATGCAGATGATGCACAACAGTAATTTTTCTATCTGCGTCAACTAGTGAGGAGTTGATAATTTAATCTCCCCACAAATTATTTTGAATCTGTCTAGATTTCTCAGATTTTATGTTGACATTGATAACTGACAGTTGGAATAACATTTATTACAAATGCTTGGATGAATTAATGTTTTTTTTTTTTGGGACCGCTTTTAATTTGAATTTTTCCAATGCTACTGTAACTTTTTAAAATACAGATATAGCTGTATATGAATACGATTTGTTTTATTAAGCTTGCAAATCATGCTTGGAAAAAATTAGTAACCTACATGGTACTGTTTTTTTTACAATTTTTTTTTTTTTAATTTTTTTTTCAGAAACGGAAGGATTTAAAATTGACACTATGGGAACGTACCACGGCATGACTTTGAAGTCTGTGACTGTAAGTTTTGTGGCCTTGCAATGTTCTGTTCTTTGTTAAAGGAGCAACCTAAAGTTAAATAATACAGTTTGGTCCAGAAGTACGTCTGTGACACAATACTAAAGGCATTACAACAACTTAAGCTTTGGTGTATAGATCGTGCACTTGAACCCTCACTGCTCAATTTTGTTATTTAGGAGTTAAACTGGTTATATCACCTCTAACTTACATTGTCTCCTTCCACTTTCAGTATTTATTCTTCTTTTCTAATCTATTCTCTTTAAACCATTAGACAAAGTAAGAGCTACTTTGACTTATGATTTTTTTCCTCCACTTGGTAAAGGGTTAAGCTTAAGGTATGCTTTACCTCTTTTGTTAAGCTGAAAAAGCTGAAGCTTGTCTTAAATTCCAAACTAATGTCTCATTTATCAAGCAGGATAAAATACTTAAGACAGTACCCACCTACTTTTGTTATTTAAAAAAAAAAAAAAGTAAAATAGATCAGAAATTTAGAAAAGAGCAGATTCTAAAAGAGGATGAGAAGACCAAGCAATAGGAGAAAGATAAGTTTGAGGACAGAGCCACTTTACATTTGTTTTGTCGCACAGCCTGCTTGGTAATATTTTTAGTCAGATCTTAACTTACTTTGGAAGTTTTTAACCTCCTGCTCTGTTAATTTATCTTTAATCACACACAAGAATTCTGTATCTTCTCTCTAGTAATGCTAGACCTTTACTGCAGCTATTTCAATTTGTATTTTTAATATCCTCAATTTAAAGTTGACAGTCTGCACTTTAAAAATTTAGCGTTGGCAATATATATTTAATACGGGTTTAGAGTCACTTTAACATTAGTTTACACAGCTATGAAAATGATCTGTAATATAGTCTTCTCTCAGCAGTTACTTTGCCTCCAATACCATGGCTGCATTGGGGTATAAGGTGTATGCCTGTCAACATGATGAATTAAACCATCACAATGTAGGCACATTTTATTTTATTTTTCTTGCAGAACTTGCATGTGTGGCAGACATTGGATCTTCCCACTACTTTTGTTCTAACTATTGTTGTAATAGTTCATATGCAACTTTTGTGTCTTGTATTTGTGGATCTCTGGCACTAATAGTTACTTGATTACTTGTAATTTGTCCATAAGATTTGAAATAATAGCAGGCCCAGAGGACAATTTGAGTGTGTCGCAGGTAACCTATGTTTCTACTTTTCAGCATATATGTGCCCACTTTTTGTAAATACTGTGGTAATTTTATGGAGCAAGATGCCATTTATGGTTGGAATGTAAGCTGTTGTAAAGCTCATGCTTTGTGTTTGTGCAATATCCTCTTATGACCATGAGATGGCAATAGAAATCAATTTTTCAGTAAAATGTGCTAACTTGTTTAAAATATAACCCAGGTTTTCAGTATGTATAGTTGATCTTACAGAGCACTATCTATATATTAGAGATTTAGTGGAGGGGTTTTAAATAGCTCATTAGTCTTGATATGCATATGTTGGTAATGCTTTCATACAAATTAAATCAAAAGCCAGGAACCGTTCAAATACATGTAAGAGTCTTTGTTAGATTATTCTCATCATTACCATTGTTTAATAGACCCGAGGTAGGCAACCTTTGGCACTCCAGGTATTGTGGACTACATCTTCCCTGATGCTCTGCCAGCATTGTCAGTAGATATAGTCCATAACATCTGAAGTACTGGAGGTTGCCTACAGCTGCTTTAGACCAATGGGTACATTTGTCACACCTACCACTAAGATGGCCCCGGCTGTGCGTTGGGCATGTATTTGGTGCTTCTATATGTGTGACTTCTCTCTTCGAGCATCATCACGTGGGCACAGGTGAATCTGACTGTAGTTTCCATAATCAATCCTTAAATCTTCCCAGTCATCTGAAACTTCTTATGAGCACAATTAATCAAGCCTTAAATGTTAGACCAGAAATTTTTACCTGACGCACAGGATTCCAGAATGGATTAGTAGACCATAAGCAGATAATCTTATTCAGACTCAAAGAATGAAGGAATATGGTTTATTTTCTAGATATGATCATGTCATCTGAGTGTGTTGTAGTTTCCATGGGAAACTAATGACCTTCTTTTGACAGCCTCTATAATTGTCTGTCTGTATCCCGAAGGCATCTTAAAAATGTGAAAGGCAGTCATTAGCAATTTGAAGGATCGGGGCGCTTGATTTAATGATCAAACTAGTTGCAATTACTCTTTAATTCTGGTTCTAGGTACAAAATGATGGGTGGCTCATGATATCTTATATGCCTGGATTGATTTCTATAGTTCTTTTAAGCAGTTGTTTAAAAAATATCCCTTTTGTTTTGTTAGCACAATGAGTTTATTTTTTATTTTTTCTGGTTTTGTTTAGAGATGTGTATTAGTACTTGAGTGCTACTTTTCATAAATTGCCTGGGCTTTTGGAAGTTATGCACAGGCTAATACTGTGGCTCTAACAAACCTTTGTTAAACACTTTTTCTATATGTCTGACTGTTGTGAATTACAATTTGAACAGAACTGTCAGGAGTGCTAGCGGTGCTTTTAGTACCTCACTTTTATTATTATTATACCTACGTCTGATGCTTGCCTTAAAGACTTCTCTAGGGCTGCACCATATCTATGGAACACCCTTCCCATCTCTTAGACTTTCACCCAGTCTCCACTCTTGAAAAAGATCTTTGTAAACTTCTTCAGGTAAGCATATCAACTAAACTGTAAACCGTTTTCCCTCCCCACACCCCGATTCCTCTCCTGCAACTCTCCTCCAAACAAAACCATAAGCCCTTAGTGAATACTATCCTAACAAGCTACTTTTCTACCCTACCCTTACTTTTTGTGTCACTATACCCCACTCCCTCTAGCATGTAAGCTCATTGAGCAGGGCCCTCAACTCGTCTGGCTACAAATAAGTGTCTGTTAGTCCACCTATTGTACAGCACTGTGGAATTTGTTGTCCCTTAATAAATATAAGCATGACTGCAGTTAAAATGGATAATTGTGAGTGACATGGTCAGTCCTCTTTGACAATTTCTAAACAATGTATCTATATATGTTCCAACATACCTAATTGGCAATCTTTATTGGGCCTTCTTTCTGGGCAGTCATTATTCACATTGTAGTTAAAAAGAAAAACAAAAAAACGCACATCTACTACCTATATTCTCATTGATAATTGTCTGACTAGACAACATCTGATGGCCTAGTCAGTCACACTGTGGCTTATGTCATTTTCATTTTTTTACCTGCTACTTAGCTCCCTTTATTTCTCCAGTCCTTTTTATTTATTTATTTATTTATTCCATTTATTTTTTATTTTTTGTAGTAGTCAGTTTGAAAGCCAATAGATACACTTTCTTTAGAAAAATTCAGTTTTTGAAGACCTTTTAACTTGGCATCATGCACAGCCTAATGATGCCAAACACACAGTCCTACGAAGAAAGAATTCATGGTTAGTATCCATGATTGCACATGATTAACTTCTTATTTGCAAGAGCACCTGTCAAGGTACCACTTTTGTCAACAATTTGAAACACTTGTCATCCAATCTCTTTTCTGTCTAATAAAGCCTTTGTTGTGTCAGATTTCTTTCAGTGAATGCATTTAATAGATAATCATTGCTTACATTAAAGTAGATATTGTAAGTAATTTGTATAACAAGCAGGCACCCCATTGACCCATTTAATGTGACCCCACATTTTCATGCTATATAAATTTTATTTTGTTTTTAATTTGCTTAATTTGTCATAAAGGCAGTTTTAATGTGCATGAAATTATGTAAAAGTATGACTCAACAATACCCACATATATTAATCCTATAGGTGTCATTTATTTTTAATATATGTATTTTTAAAGGAACATTAGCACCAAAATCACTTCATCTTAAAGAGATATGTACTCTAACCATTTAATCTCAGTGCACTGGCTATAATTCCTGGAGTTCCCTGGCACAGTCCCACTGTTAAGTGTTAAACTATATTTGAGAATTTTAACACTGAATGAAGGTCTCTGCAGCTTCCTATAGTCCCAGCCCCACTGGAGGCATGGCTGAGGCAGATAATATACACTTCCTTGTAGCTGTACCGATTCATACCTGCAATGGCCCTGTAATAGACTGAAAGCGGTCAGCTGATGTCAATCACACCCCCATTATTGCTCAGGCTAAAGCTTCATTAGCCAAAGATAATTTTTGCATTAAAACATTTACAACTGACAGTACCAGGTGACTCTAGACACTATAATCACTTCAATGAGATGATCAAGATACTGTAGACACCATAACTTCGTCTTGTGCCCCATCAGCCTTGCAAATGAAAGCAGTGCCACTTGTGCGAAATCTGCACAGTTTACATTTTGCAGAGCTGACACCTATATGTAGTTGTCAGACTCAATTAGATCCAATTATTGCATATATTTGATGTCCAGCAACAGTCTTCAAACACTGTGAGAAAGTGTCCAGTAATCAAAAATCGTTTAAAGGTGCTCTGCAAACAGTGTTTCATCTAATTAAATTAATTATAATGCCTAAAGTCTGCTGGCACTTTCAAACTATCTTGGTGCAGAGATTACACAATTCCTTCTAGCCACATTTCTCTAGTAGTCAATAGATAGGATTAATTTAAGTTTATCCAATGCATCCATATTTGCTTTTACATTCAAATATTTTAAATAGTTTCAGATGTTATAAAACTTGCATTATATATTTTTTTAACATATATATATTTTTTAAACATGTATATATCGCCAACCTATTCCTCAGTGCTTTACAATTTGAGAAAGTGGATAGAAGACTAAATATGAAAAACTATTACAAATGTCTAGAACAAGAGGTTAATAAGGACCCTTCTCGTACTCTTATCACCATATAAATGCATTGTCTTGCCACCTCTCTCCAATGCCTCGCTTTCTCAAATACATAAATCCAATATTTAGGGGTATGCAGTTATTTGTCCTGTGTATGCTACAAATACTTTGAAATTGTTTTAGAAAATAAGCAAATACAAAGACATATGAACCCACATAACACTATTTATCTACCCCTGGTAATAAAGGGATTTAAAGGGGGCCATTTACACTGACCACAATTGTTAATTTTACCCATGACCCAGGGATTTATTTGCTCACAACTACGATTTCCCATGTTTATATCTGTTCAATTGCTAAATCCATAATATTCTAGTCTCTTTAGAAAGTTTCTCTTGTCAGATCCAGAAGATAAAAATGGTTTATAGTGTCTCTAGAAAGAGCTGTCTGTGAAACTAGGACTGAATTTGCATCTCATGACATATGACACCAATCTGTTGGCAGACACATTCAAATTACTCTTTATTTTGCCTTTATTGTGGACAGTGTAATACAAAGGAGTTGGGTATTTTTTTTTTTTTTTCTCTCAGTAAAAATACTCCATCTATACAAAGTTATTTTACGCACATTGTTTGTCTTTGATGGACTTTAATTAATAGACATGTTAAGTTGCAAATTAAAATGTGGCAATGTTCAACTGGATACGAAGCCTAATTTACAGTTCCTTCCCCTGAAAAAGGTATTAATGCATTTACTTAGCATGTTTGTGGAAATTTGACCAGTTGACTTTAATTTTATTTTTTATTAGCACATGAAATAGCAGGTGTATCATCAAAGTGTGCATGCTTCCTATTGCACAGATTAAACACATTTGTATGCATTTTTTTGTTTTATAACTTTTTCTTCCTTTTGCTCTTGTAATTTGTCAGTCTTTTTTTCTTATGCTTTTTGAAAATAAAAAAATATTTTTTTTCAACCCTATTTTCAGAAAATACATAAACTGTCGATCTTTTTTTTTTTTTTTTAACTTCACAGCACATGCTTTCATATTTTTCTTTAACATATCGATTCTTTTAGTGCATTTTACGATGCCGGTAACGGCTAGCCTTTTCCTTTGCTGCATTTGCACAGGCATTGTGCTTATTTTGTTGCAAGTGATTCCAATATTTGATCAGCTCACTGGGCTGGAACTGATGGGAGGTAATTAGGTGGCTATATTTACAGCTTGAATAGGAAACTCTCCAGTGATTAAATACAAACTCATTGGGCGGAGGCACGGGATCAATACGCAACTTGGCGAGACAAATTCCGACATAAACATCCTCTAGGTGCAGTCGTCTGATACTTAAGGAGACCTTAAATATCTTTTCTGCCAGGTTCCCAGAGAACACATAGCCAGTCCCAGAACAAAACACTGGATACCGCTCACTTGGGTACAAATCCGGCGGCATGTACCATTTACTGTCTTTGTTCCGATTTGGCGCATACCCTCTCATTAAATACCCTGTAAAGTAATTGGTTCTTGGAGGAAGGTCTGGCTTCAGTAACTTGTGTATTAAATATTCAGTATTAACAAACATGTCACTGTCTGTCTTCATGACATAGCGAACGTTTGAACAATATGTGGCCACCCAGTTCATTCCCATGAGTGTTTTAATGGTCAGATTGTAGTAAGTATCTAAATATTCCTGTTGAATGATGTCATGATACTGTTGACTTTCGTCCATGATGGCCTGTTCGATTAATCCATTTAACTTGACATTTAAACCCAAGAGGAAGAGTCTCACAATTTGGATTCCTGGTACAAGACTTTCATTACCCCAGGTCTGTCTTATGGCTTGACGAGCCTCAATCTGTCTTGGTTCTGCAGCTATGAGTAGTATAAGAAATGGACTTTTGTCCTGACATTTCTCAGGCTCATTGATTACATATTTATAGTGGTACACATTTTGATGGCCATTGCCCTTTTCACTGTATATGCTCCCGTTGGTACTCAGCGTGTTTTCCAATCCTGTCACGCCTTGTTGTAGAGATTCTGTGTTACTTGCATTGGATGCTGTATGAGGGTTCAGTGTTTGAGGGATAGTGTCTTTCCATATATTTCTCAATGAACTATTGTTTTCACTTTTAGTAGTTTTGAATCCACGGATTATATGGGTAACTGGATTCTCTTTAAGTCCAATTCTGCCAGGGAACGAGTTATGATGGTTAAAAAACAGGAATGTAGCAAAGAGAAACACAAGTGATAGGAGGCCAGTGAGATGCGTACGGAAGAGGGATCTCTTGCTGTTCCAGGACATTTTAGCAAAGCAGCAATGACGTCTCCTCCACTGAAGCATGCTTTTGGGCCGCAGATGCAGTGTACTGCATCTGCCCAAACTTCAGTTGTTTTTATCCTGCCAACAAAATGTAGCAATTGCTATTCTTTGTTTGTCTTCATTCTTCAATTGCTGATGGACACTTCTCTAAAGGAAGATCTGCTGAGATAAACAGATGAAAGTTACTATACCCAAAAGACAACTGTGCTTGTAATACAGCTATCAACCGTTATTTCTTTATAAGGAAGGAAGGGCTATTTTGCTTATTTATTTTTAGAACACTATCATGAAGATATGGTGTGCAATACAATAGTTGTTTTGCTATTCTATATTTTTTTTTTTTTTTTTTTATGCCTATTGTACCAGGCTGCTTGTGAAGACTTGATTGCATTCTCTATGGAGGAAAAAATCTATTATACTTCGACATGGTTTTATTTATTACTGGTATTTATAAAACGCCAAACATATATTCTGCAGCGCTGTACAATTGGGGGAAAAAGACAATACAATAGAAACAGACCCATACAACAGATAGAGGGCCCTGCCCGTCAGCTTACATTTTTTTTTTAATTGCCTTTCATTAATGAGTTATGCGTTTTTTGTTTTTTTTTAACCTTTTAGATAAGATGTGTACAGTATGTTGAACAGTTTTGTTCATGGGTTTTCTTGCCTATCCAATGTTTTATCCTTAATGTTTTAGTTACATTACACGTTGTCACTTTAATGCAAAGTTTAATACAGGTGCTGATTTATGTAATGAAGCAAGCCCCTTGTAAATAGTTTGCCAGGATTGTTTTGCTTTGGGAAAAGAAAACTTCTGAAAGTTTGATCAGAGCCATGCTTTGTTAGTCACAGTACAATGCCTTCCATGTTTTTACTGGCGAATGCAATATTGGAAAAGTCAATGAGAAGATGTGATTGTCAAAACACATTTTCAGGGTTCAGTTACTTCCCTGCTGAGTCTGCTCACAGTTATACACTTTTGGAATTTAAAGGAATTTATCACTTGATGCCTAAACAAATGCCTGTAGCGGCATTCATTTAAAAAATTAGTTCTGCAAATAGCAAGATATTTGAATGCTTGATCAAGCATTTCTCTTGGTTGAAGGAGCAACAACGACACAGTTGACGCCTATTAACGTTTATTTCCTCTAGAGGGAGCCAGCACTCCATTTTTATTTTTTGTAAAAAAAAATTCTGTTACAGGGCACTTGTTACAAAACTGTTTTCAACATAGATGCTGTTAACTACTCTTTAAAAGAACAACTTACAGTATCCAATTTTTTTTTTTTTTAACCTTTCTTTTTTTTTAATGATTGTACATGCACTGCAAATGGTTTTGGTAGTTAATAAAATGAATAATCTCAATGAAGCTGTATGTGATAAGACTGCAATACGCATATTAATTACAGATTTGTAAATTTTAACCCACGATTACTCCAGAGCTGGTCAACTTACATTTGCTTTTCAATGACTGAAAAATATGAGAAATTTAGTTTTTCTAAATCTGGGATGTAAAGGTCAGCCAGTGCTAGCCTAGCCTAGCCTGTCTCAACAAATTTTGATGGCATTAGGTTTCTTGGAGTAGAATAGCTCCTTTCACTCTGTTCAGAAGTTTATTATGCAGCACTGTGTTCTTTCAAAACAAAGAGTATCTGATTTAACTGTATTTTGATACAGATACAAATTTTCATTTATTTATTTTTTTAAACAAAAGGTATGGATCGTGATAAGCAACACATTCCTTGCACTTCTTTCCCTTTGAGTATTGATTGTGGATTACATTGGCACACCAAAGGCTTCCCAAGCATCATGGGAAAATGTTAGCAAACTTTCTTGGGGGGCCAGGATTACGGTTGCTGTCCTAGAAATATTACACTTTAGGGGTCTGATTAAATGCTCAAATGATGGTCTCCTAAATCTTGTAACTTTGCATTGTTCTGTTTACTATTTTAAAAGCTGCAGTTTGCTTTCCACGGGGCTATTTTAAATGCACTGAAGTAGCTGCTTTCTCAGAAATATGACTAGTGAAATGCAATTTCTACAAATCCTGTATTTATTTTGCATGAAGTACCTTCATTTGTCTGAATTCTAGTATTTTGTACTGACCATTCACAGGCTCTGCTGTGCTTCCTGTAAAATGCACTCATTTTAAATAATGTTTCAATTTCTCGGGTTAGATATCAAAAAGGATTTGCCGTTTTGTCTGTAACTGCTTAATAGGACACAATATACTTGATTTCTTAAAGACTAATTTTGATTTTATTTTTTTTCCAATTCCTTTTTTTTAATGTAATATTGCCTCCTGGTTAAATTGTGCAAGATGCTACATCTCTCTAACATTGTAGGCCTCATACTTGTTTGTAGAACTGAGTTTGAGTTTAACATGTGCTGCACAAAAATCTCAATCAGTTTCTGACTATGACATGCAGACCTATAGACATACACATGATTTATATAAATTTTTACTAAACCGTTATTTAGGTTCCCTTTTTCAATGACTTGTAAAAGGTTTTGACCTCCCATTCAGTTTGCTGGTGTCCAGCCTATGTACATATTTAAAAAGTGTAAGGAAATCCGATTTTGTTCCATCACTGACCTGCATAATATGTGCTGCAATGTGTCCCAAGCCCCTAGGACATTTGTACTGTATAACCATTTTCATTAAAAGGCAGCAGAGCCCAGGGCAGAGTAAGCACATTTTAATACTGGAATGCTTGAATGATTTATTGCATATTCAGATTTGTAAAGTACACAGTTCCTGCATGTTCTAAATCCACTGCTGTTCTAAAATGGGAATTTGATGGTTTTGTTAATGACGGTTTGCTATATTACATGTTAGACTATTTAAATTTTATTTTTTTGTGGTTTCTAAATTAAAATCAGTATTAGATTCTTCCTACTGTGCAAATATAATTTGCAGGGCTACCTGCTTTCAGCAGCTTGATAGTTTCAGTCCAGATTTAAGATTACTTCAGATAACGGATTAAATGTGACCTAGTTTGTAAAAAGGATTTTTCTCTCGTATCGCAGATTGAAAGGAAATAAATAATGCTGCTCTGCCTGATTCCTGGATAAGTGCATGTTGCATTTGCCTGGTTAAATTAAATTATTATCCAGTGAACAGCTGTGTTTAAATGCATTTTCTCCCCCTCTCCGCCCGCCAACAAATCCTCTCCTTTCGTAGAGGGATTATTTAACAAATTGAATTGCATTTAAGATGTGAAGAAATCAATACACGAGAATTTGACATACCTTTTTTTTTTTTTTTACTGTTTACATTCATGGTGTTAGGCATACACCTATCGAATAGTTTTGGCACGTCATTGCTTGGCCGAAAAAATTTGCGAGAGAACATGCGCACTTCCTTTAAAAAACTCCCCTCGGTGTACTCTTTTGCCTACTGTCCGTCTGCATGTTGCTTGTCCTATTGCCTGTTCCATTCATAGACAAGTGTTTTATATTCCCTGGGTTTGGAAGCAAAACGAATCCCAGCATTCCTTCTGCGTACCCAGATTGTCTCCTGGTAGCTCATCCAGCATTGAATGCTTCCTCAGATCTCTTCCTTTTATTTATTTTTTTGTCTCCAATGCAGTGTTCAGCCGTCCGTATCCATGCCAGTGCTTGCAGATTTAGTCAGTGTTTATGGGGGATAAAGCACTACAAAGCCATAGTAGCCTAGTTGAATAAAATAGATGATTTACCTCTTGTTGCTAGGCAGCTTCAGCAGAAGACTGGGTTCGTTTTAAGGGGGGGGGGGGGGGGGGTGCAGGGAGAGAGAAGCGGTGGTCTAGAGAGCCATCTCTGCTTGCCTGCTTGCTTTCCTAGGCTGCTGCTGCCGTCTCTCTCGAAGGCAGTGGTTTAAATGTGGGCTTTGACAGATGCTGTCTTCTGACAGAGCAGAATTTAACGTCACAGCCTGGCTAATAATCATGTGACTCCGTTTGCATTCATAGCTCCTGGTGTGGTATTAGCAAGCCAGCCTCTCGCTTTGACTCAGGTTAACAATTATTAGTACAGCTTGGCTTTTTTTTTGTTAATATCTTTAAATATGGCTTGCTGGAGGTTTTTATTTTATTTTATTTTTTTTAATGGGCAAACAGAGTGCTGATTTTTTTTTTTTGCTTTATATATCCGTTTTTGTATGTTTTGTAGTTTCTTTACAACAAATATTTGTTTTGGTTTTATATTTATTGAATTCCATGAATATACATTATGGATGTCTTTAATACATGGAGCTTTTTTAAGGGGGTGGGGGGGATGACAAGCAGTAGAGCGTTAGTCTTTTTTGTTTGCTGAAAATAGCAGCCATAAAATGTTTCAATATTTCAAATAGTAAAATGGCGTTCAAATATAGCACTACAGGTGAAGATCTGATATACCCACACTTGTCTACAGTCTTTGCCAGGTATTGTGTACTTTTCAACATTAACCATCAAATGCAAAAAATACTAAACTCATGTAAGCAGTTCCTATAATTTTATTCCTGTATATAAAACTTGCTGCATTTATTTGTATGACTCTCTCATAGAACTGTGCAGAATATCAATGCTTCATAATTTATGACACTCATGCCTTTCAGAGTGGCGATCTTTGTGTACATTTTTATTTTCGTTCTTATACTTTACATATATATATATATCTATATCTATATATCTAATGAAGTGTTAGCACATGTTGCATGTACTAGATGCGGAATCTGGCAACTACCCTCTCTATATATACCTTTTTTTTTTTTTTCAGCCTAATTTTGTTACACTTGGCAGCAATACTTGGCAGGATATTCCTGCATAGCTTTTTTCCCTCTTGTACAGTTCAAAATATATGTGTGTGTGTATATATGTGTATATATATATATGTATGTATGTATGTATGTATGTATGTATATATATATATATATATATATATATATATATATATATATATATATATATATATATATATATATATATTAATCTGCACTGCTGAATAGACATTGTGGGTGTTAAGCACTTGTTGGTGTGAAGCGTGTGGCTTCTATATTTTATTTATGATTTACGTGACAAAAGATTAGGCAAATCCCATTATTTCATGACTCTGTATAAGGTGTCATCATTATACGTATTCCATGTCCTGTCACATGTTGGCTGCATTGTGTAGAATTGGATGCAATTACTTAAATTGGATTTTTTTTTTTTTTTTTTTCTGAGTCTGTGTATGTAATTTGTTTTGCGCCATAATTCAACCCTTTTTTTGCCCTTATCGGCTTAGATACTTCCTGGTTTGGTCAAAGCCTGGGTATTTGCAGAAAATTAACAGATGTTTTAATATTTGTAATTATTTGTTTTATCTATAATAATGCGTTAGACCAAAACATTCCTGGGGTGTCCTTTTTAAAGGAACTCTCCAAACCACATTGTTGTGGTTATAGTGCCAGATGATGCTCCTTGCTTCCACTACAGCTATGAAAGCCACAGGGCATGCCAGCCCATTGGCCGAGTGTCAGCTGTTTGCTATTACGCAATGAGCAAAGCACTGTCCTGCCAGGCCTTAGCTCAGACAGCTTCTGGCTTGGTCAGCTGTAATGGAGGGCTTCATGGCACTCCTTGCACCATAACTATTACGACATGCTGCAGTTATGGAGCTTGGAGGATTCCTATTAGGGGTTAGACAAGTAGCTTAAAAAATATATTGCAACAGCAACGCAAATGTTTAATTTGAAGAGCACCGGTACCCATAGACATTTGTTATACTTTTATGCTGTGTGGGTATCTGCATTTATAATTTAACATGTAACTTGGTTATAGTTTGTTTCCTCCTCCTTTTCATTTAACCATTTACTTACTAGGCAATTTAGAGGTTTTGATCATTCCAAAAGCCTAGTCTCTGTAGTCTTAAATAGTGAGTAAGCTTGTATCTTGTTGGTCTTTGGGGGAGATGTGTAAACAGTGTATCCAATATATTTCCATAATACAGTTTAGCAATTTGCATCTCCCAATCTATCTTTAAAAATGTTTTGTGTGTTATACATGCACAAATATATTTAAAAAGGTAAACCTACATTTAGCTTTTTCACTAGTTTCCAAGTTTAAAACATTATATTGATATGAGTGTTTTCTCTGCTTAACCAGTCGGCATTCCGACTATTTTGTCAGTTTTGAGCCATATTTCTCATCTTGTGAAGAGCAATTATGGCATAATTTGAGCTTGTGTATTTCCATTGAGATGAACTGCAGAAAACAAGTGATTAATTTTCCATGATCTATAAAGCCTCTAGGGTTATGACTGTTTCTGGGCCAGCACCATTGATTGATTGAGGAAAGTGTGCCATTACCGCACTGTACCTTGTTCATGTATGGATGTACATGCCATTTAATGGTGGCCTTGACACAGTGCATGGCCAGTGGACAATCACTGTAAAAAATTGTTTGCTTTTATACGGATCTCTAAAGATGGACTTCAGTGAAAAAGTCCTCCCGGCTCTTTAAATCTTTAAAGGTTTGTCCACCCTGGTGGTTTTGTTTTTGTGCATGGTTGTACATTTTATGGTATCAACATAATTGGTGCCATTTATTTTTGCAAACCACACCATAAATTATTAAATCAAAACTGTTTGTGAGACACTGGTATTCATGTTGAACCTTGCAGGTTCACAAAGGTTACTATTGAAACTGGACCTTGTAGTGTTGCCAGTCAAGAATGGGACACCCCTTACAAAAGTTATTTAGTATATTGGCAATTTGGCACTTTCAGCTCTCCCTCGTGCTTCTGACTCTCTAAGTAAATGAATCAGAGTGCTGGCACCAGGTTATCTTGTTGCGTGGACCACCAGGTACTATACCCCCACCCTGCAATAAAGTAAGCAGAAGGGGATAAGCATCTTTCTTATTGTAACATTACACACACACAACCGCCACAATCAGCCAACCTCACACGTTACTCAGCTATCGGTAAACACGCTTCACATCCGATGGAGATGTGGTCTGTTTTGAAACCAGTTATTTATCGTTTTTGAGTACTATTCCACCACACATGCACTAAATTTTCTTTCCTTGCTTGGTGGTCTTCAGCCTGTGTTAGTTCCTTGTAAAAGATTTCCTTTTTTTGGTTATTGAAACTTTCAGTATGATTTGCTAAAGCAATGCAATATTGGATCAGCAAGCTTAGACCTTTGCGCCACCTGTATCTTTCTAAATTTCCAGGTCTACAGAATCCTTGAAATTTCTGAAAGTGTACTTTGCATTAACACCAAATAACTTGCATCTCCTGTTTTGCCAGCAAATGTGTTTGGAAGAAGAAACTATTTAAAAATATTATTTTTCCCATTTGTCTTTCAATTCCATGGCAGACATTGGCAGGTGGTTCTTTTGCTGTCCACCCGAACAACTACAGTGCACGCGCTCTGGTTATTATGGAAACCCCTCTGGAGGTGCAGAGTAGGGGGTATTGTATCGGAATGGTATGACCTCATTCTGTTCAGATGCTAGCAATTAAGCTAGCGTGTCACAGCCCCTAAGCAGGTTTGTGTCCTCAAGCAAGGCAAATCGGTGGTCAGAGGAGCAGGAGAGTAGTAGCAGGGGGTGATCTCTGCAGGGCAACGGAGGCCAAGGTAAGTGGCTACAGGTTCCCATTAAATTAGTGTGCACCCACACTTATTAATAATTTTGTTCAGGAGAGACAGGTCTTTAATTTCTCATGAACTATTCATATATGAAACATAATTTATTATGAATAAAATTAAAAAAAGGAGAAATTAAGATTTTTAATACAAAATTGTAGTTCTGGCTGATATTTTAGCTGTGCATGTCATAATACTGTTGGCTTTTACTGCGATAAAATGCCCATATTTGTATTCAGCAAAGTCTATTTACCGGTTTTACAGTGTTTCGAAAAGTTACAGGGTCAAATATAGCACATTCCATTTTTTTCTGTTTCATTCCAGTCTTTTTTGTAGCCATTTAGTCACAAACACTGGCCAAAGTTAGCGTTCATATTTGTTTTTGTGTGAAAAAAGCAAAAAACAAATATTTGGCCAGTGTTTGTGGCTGCTAAAATGACTGGACATACCCCATTTGCAATACCTTGGGTTGTCTACTTTTGCAAATGGTATGCCATCATGCCATCATGCAGGTAATTCTTATTCCTGGGCTACTATACGGTCTCAAAGGTAACATTACCAAACCGGCAAACTTCAATGTGAAAAAAATGAAATTCAAAACTGTATTTGACTCTCTAACTTTCCAAAACACCATAAAACCTGTACTGAACACATTGTCTCAAAAATTTAAAATGTAATACAACAATATCGTCCGTAAAAGTGCAGTTTGTTTGTGAAAAATGAAAAAAAGTCACTTTTAATGAAAATATCCTCATTGTAATACAGTTTATCATTTTTGAAACACTAATATTTGTGTTCGGCAAAGTCTTCCGAGGAAAACAGTACCCCCCATGTACAGATTTTGTGGTCCCTTGGAAAGTCACAGGGTTAAACACAGTGCTTGCGAAATAAATTCTCAGCATTTTCTGTTTGGGTTGTCAGGCACATCAATCAAATTTTTTATATTTTTTTGTGGGTGCAGCATGATGATTACATTTTCACATGTTTGGCATTACAATGGGGAAAAAAAACGTGGGTCTATGTAACAATTTTAACACTTTTTTTTTTTTTTATGGGGGCTACCCAATTCTAATGTTTGAAAGCCTATTCAGCCTTCTCTCACCCGGTCTAGGTGGGGGATGTTGGTGATGTGCTTGGGGGCGCAGACTTATAGCAGTGTCAATCAAATTTTAATTGGTAAAATCACTCTTTGAGAGCGATCACATGGCCCCTGGGGGCCTGACTTGCCGTTAGAGGGCTGCCCATTATAATGGGGACGGCATAGAACGCCGTAATGGCGTTAAGGGGTTAACTTGCTGTAGAATTTTTTTTTTTTTAATCTTCTGCTCTGTCAATTTAACTTTTATCACTCACAGGAGGTTCCTAGGTCTAGAAGGCTATTAACAGTGCTGGAGATAAGACATTCTAAATTAAGCTGACTGTGCAATAAAGGCATTTTAAACATTGGATCTCACTTTACTGGAAATGTTTAGGAAGGATGTGCAAGTCACATGCAGGAAGGTGTGCCTAGGGCTGTATAAGCAAAAGTGATATAACTCCTAAATCGCAGATAATTGTGCAATAAGATGGCAGTAGTAAGATCTATACACCGCAAATGCTTCATTAAGCTAAAGTTGTTTTGTTGACTAGTGTCCCTTTTAAGTTTAAAATATTTTTGTGTGCTGAATTGTTGGCTGCATCCTAATTTAAAATCTGTACTTTAAATGCACTTTGTTGTGGCAAAAAATCATGCACATTCTCTAGACATAATTCTGAGATGCTGCCTGGTTAGATATGAAGATCAGGAACAAATCAATGTATCACTGCACAAATAAGCGAGTGAAAAAATTTAATAAAATCCTTAGCGCACCAACAAAGTATAAAGTGAAAATGCACACAAACACTGTCTAGATCAGGGATGGGCAACCTTTGGCACTGCAGATGATTTGTCAATATTCTGGCTGTAAGAGCATTGTGGGAGATGTAGTCCACATCTGGAATGCCAAAGGTTGCATGGTTACCATGCAACAGAAATATCTATGAGGGAGGATCTCACACTCACACTCATTGTTGGTTGTGGTGATTTAACTTCAGATTGTTCTTTCTTTGCAGGAAGGTGCCTCTGCCAGGAAGACACAGACACCAGCTGTCCAGCCTGTGCCCCGTCCTGGTAATTGCATTTTTTTTAAAGATTATTTATTTCTACTCTGTCCATCATGATCTGTGGTTGTTTGGAATATTCTGCAACCTGTATATGCTGGAAAACATTTTGCTACTCTTGACCTTAAAAGGAGTGCTAAAGCGTATTCCTAATGTTTCCTTGTCCCCAATTAGAAGGGTATTCTTCCCCCCTCTAATAACTCCTTCTGTCACTTACCTGGGTCCAGCGACGATGTCCCTCGGTGCTGGCTCACCTCCGCCCATGCTCCTCGCCCGCCGGCGGAGGAGACCTAATGCGCATGCACGGCAAGAATTAGAATTTGTAGTTTTTTGTGTTCTTAAGAATTTACACCTGTCATTGTGCATTTAAGCACTGCAGTAATTTTAAGAGTTTTTGTCATTTCCGGATATACTGCGTTCAGCATATAGCGGCTTATAAATGTGGCAAACCACAGGTGATTGCTAATTCAGAATCTTATTTGTGATCAGACAAGTAAAAGTAACACTAATTTTCTCAAAATGCTACAGCTCTGCAACAATATTTTTCCCTGTGCATCCCACATCACTCACTACAATATCATTCTGCTGTCCTGTATCTGATCTTGGTAGAAAGTCTCCCAGGATTCAAAGCCTGTGTAATCTGAATTCTAAATGCTTAATTTAGCACAAACACTTTCTGCTCGGTTAACAGTAGATGTAGGAAATCTAATGGTCTCTTATTGATGAAAGCAAACTGCACATGGATAAATTGCCTTAAATCATTGGTTCTTAAACCCTTTAAGTTCCAGAACTGTACCAGTTCACTGTGAATTATTAGTCCAGGCATAAGAACTATCAATGTCAAAGAATGAAGTATTATCCAATTCTGCTTTACTGTGAATAATTCCAATACCTGGACCCTAAAATATATATTGCCCACTGCATTAATTCTTCACAGATAATCTCAGTCTTCAATTTACAGACTAAAGAGAAATGTAATAGAAGGGGGAATGTCACTGGCAAACATAACTCTTGACTTTTAATTCTTCCTGCAACATATTTAATAAATGAGGAATATCCAGAACAGGACTCATTACCATTAAAACACATGATCTGAATCTTTTTAATACCTTTCTGCACATACACACTCAGGAATGCAATGTATTCCTATCTCCCAACATTGTATTCCTTGATCCAAATCTATTTTTGCTTGAGTAAAAACCTGCAGTTTGACAAACAATGGAGCTTTTTAGTCAAGATCCATGTCCTTTGTCATTGGATGTCAAGTCAATACTCCCATCAATCCAGCTTTACATCACTTCTGACAGTGGTACATCACAAACCCTTAATGTTGACCCTTGAGCAATTAGTCAGCTGCAGTCTGTATGAATTCATGCACATACCTAGGGAAGGGCAAAGTACTTTTTTTCCCCTCAAGTCTACACTTTAAGATGTTGGCATAAAAGAACATAAAGCAGGACCAACATATTGATAAATAGGGAAAGTTGCCTTCGGTTTGAAAAGGTTTGGGGTTGTGGGGGGAAGATTGTTGGAAGCAAGAGGAACCCCCCTGCTGGCAACGGAGTGATACTATAATTTACAGAGCTCATTTAAGAATTAATTTACTAAACCAGCAGCTGTGGAGAACTAATGGAATCATACGTTTTTAGAACAGTGTTAAAGAAAAATAAAACAAATTGAGACTTATTAAAATTTTAGTTTGACCTAAAGTGCGCAATTTACAGAATTACACACAATATTAGTGAGTAAACACGAGTTCTGCTTTATAGTTGTGTTGTTCCATGGGGCGGTACTGATTTGTCATCTTTTCTGCCATATTTATTTATCCGATAGTCGTTAATAGCCTATAATGAAAAGAGTTGCCCAGATATCGTATTTCTTTGAAACTGAGTTTATTTCGAAGTAAAACCTGTTTTCCAGGCTAGGTTGCAGAATTTAATCTGGCCTTCGTTTTTGTTGGCTACTCTACACACGTAGTTGTGTTAGGTATTTAAATCAGATACTGCTATATCTTCTAAGAAATGACAGGACTGTCATGTGTCTTTTTTTTTTTTTTTTTCTTTCATCATACTGTTTACCAAGTAGACTTAGACAGTATTCATTTAAAGGTCACATATCTTCTGTAAGTGGTACTAGTAATGAAGATCTCTAATAACATTCGTTGGATTTATAGCAGATGCGGCCAAATGTTGGACAACACCCAAATTAACTCTAATATATACACTGACTGGGCATAATTATATTTTATTGTACATTGTGACTTTTTTGCGTGCAATTTTTTATCAACTTTTTTCCCCACTGCCGCCTCCTCCCCCACAACCCAAACTTTCGTAAAGCTCAAAAAATAAAATAATTTATACATTCTAGTAAACTGTGTTTTTCTACTGATGTGGAATCAATCAATTGATTATCTTGTGTATCTGCCCCCGGCCAAATTTAAAAAGATGCGTGCACGCTCCTGAAGTAATTCACACCAGAAACAGGTTTTGGGTTAATGAAAAACTTGAATGTTTATTCTGAGGGGACAGCATGTCCCTTATAAAGCAAAATTACATCATATGCATTGTCAGAGATAACATGGAATAATACATCAATATTTGGTTAGGTGTTAAGTGGTTCATTTAGTGCCCTTCCTACTGGGTGTGATGTCACTGGTATCTTGGAGGTCTCCCCCAGATTCCAGCGCCATCTTGTTAATGAGGGTGTTAGTCGATGTCAAAGGGAAACTCCCTAGCGGCCATTTTAGGTAAATCACATATAAGGTTGAATAATGCTGATTGTGGTTATGCTGAGTAAATAGGCATTTTATTAATATGAATTGGGTTAATATTTTTGTCCACAACATCTACACCATATAGAAGGTGTTCTTGTAGGTGAGATGTGGCATGTAGGAAATCGCCATCTGCTCACCTTTTGTACACCGTGGCAGTTATTATACACACTTCCAGATCCGTGTGTGTATATATGTATATATGTGTGTATATGTATATATGTGTGTATATGTATATATGTATGTATATGTGTATATATATATATATATATATATATGTGTGTGTGTGTGTATATATATATATATGTAACCTAATGCCACCCTTCCAAACAAAAATCGCCAATAAATAAAGGAGTGGCTGAAGAAATTCAAGGGGTAAGATTTCTAAAACCAGCAGGTCTATTCAATAAACTGAATTTTTGTGTTGTAAATATGAATGAAAAAACAAGCAATTGGATGTTTGCCTCTTGCCATTAAGATTTTTGTTCTGAAAACTTGGAGTTTAGTGAATAACCCTAAATGTGTCCCTCTGCATGGATTAATATAATCACACTGATTTGATGACTGTCTAGCTGTTTAAGAACAATTCCCATTCTACACTGCCAGATATGTACCATTTGGTCTCTCTTTAAGAGAACACGACAGCTGTAATTTTATTTTTATTTAGTGTCCTGGACAGTATTTTACATTGAACTGTGTAAGAAGTGGTTATCAGCCCTTGAAAGGTCACGCTGCGTGCCTGGCTTGTCTCACTGTTGTGGAACTAAGGGAATAAATTTGAAAATGACAGACTAAACTATAAGATACTGTAACTCAACAACCTGCCACAAACTGCTCTTCTGTTGAATCATCTACGTCACAGCAGGCTCTCTGACTTATGGGACCTTGCCTAGAATGTACAATGCAGTTACATGGATTGTATTTTTTATTTTTTTTTCTCCACAATTTTTGTATAGGGGCTATAAAACCATGTTTCTAATCCACTTTATTTTTGCGACCAGAAATTTAATAAAGACATCGGTCTTAAAAACCCTACCCTTCTGAATTGGCTGTAATGACCTGCTGTGTGATAGGTGAATGGGACTATTTAAGTCCCTAACATTCAGAAAGTGGTGTGCAATGGAGTCAAAGTTTGAGAGAGACTGTATTTTGCTTTGATTATTTTTTTTGTTTTTTTAGTTTCTCAAGCAAGGCCTCCTCCAAACCAGAAAAAAGGTAAGTCATCAAAAGTATATGATCCTTTTTATTTTAAATTTTTATATATACTCCAATTTATTTTACATCTTTATTGTTCTCAGGATCACGTACTCCGATTATTATTATACCTGCAGCTACCACCTCTCTAATAACCATGCTGAATGCAAAAGACCTTCTGCAGGACCTGAAGTGAGTACATAATTTATAAAACCTCCGTACTCCCCCCTTCTGTTGAGTAGAAGCACAATACATTTATGCCCTTTATTAGGGATCAACTGATTATCGATCTGGCCGATATTCTGTATTTTCAGCAATATCGCTGTTGGCCAATAAAGATACCTATATTGCAGATAATGCAAACCAGGGCCACCATCAGGGTCCTGGGGGGGCCCATCACACTCTTATTTACCTTCCCTTCAGCTCCCCTGTCTAACTTTCGCGAGTCCCGCGGTCATCAGAGCATTGGCACGGATTACGATGGCAACTCTCCGCGCGGCACGCATGCCGCGAGAGTTGGACAGGGGAGCTGTTGGGGAGGGAAGTAAGCGTGTGCTGGACCCCCCAGGGAATACCCTATCCACCCTCCTTGGCCAGGTAAGACTAAAACTAAATGTAATATTAAATAAAAATGCCCTTCCCCCCCACAATTTTACATACACTACATATCTGCACAAACGCACAGCGCACACTTTGCATTCATTATACACACTACACAAACACACTTTTTTTTTAAAACATAAAAAAATTGACTGGCATGTATATTTTGTGCATTTACCTTAATAAAAAATAAATTTGCAAAAAAAAAATATATAATAAACATGTGCAGCTAACAGATTTGTGTAGAAATTGTTTGTTTTAAAAAGGTAAATGTACAGAATATCGGTAAATTATCCACCTGAAAGTTCACAGATTATTGGTATCGGCTCTTAAAAAATAAATAAATAAATAGTCTATCCCTACCCTTTATTATTTTATGTATGTATTTTAATGTTTTAATGATTGTTGAATTATACAGTGGATTAATTCTGCATTGTGTAAAAGCTGATCATTTTCTACGTAAGATTAGTGCGCCAAATGCATAAAGGATGTTAGTTTTCTTCTGCAACTAAACCTTTTATGCCATTACTGAGGGATTTTTTTTTGTCTTGCCAACCAGGACAGAAGAGGGAATGCTTTTTTGTTGGTCCGAATGTGAAAATAAATAAAATGTACCTTGTAGCTAAATTCCTACTTTTTTCAGAGGCATGTGTTTTAGAGACACTGCCCATTAAACTGCTAAAATTTCAAGAATTATACATTTTGATTTTAATTTTTTTTCTTTATATATCCACATCTCCAAAGATTCTGTTTCTCAAGCTCTCCACTACCAAATTGTTTCCGGTAGAGCATTTGAGCATTAGTGTTTTGATACTTTAATAGTATTTCAAAGTTTACTATGGTGTTGGTGGATTTTTTAGGTTATCACTGTTGATTGTGTATCTTTTAATTTGTATAAGCGTAATGATTACAAAAAACCAAAACCGCTTTGTTCTTCAATTCAAATGAACTATAAAGTCCTACACCATCTGGAGTTTTGCAGTATTTAATTACATTTTGTTTCTGTTTGCATGACATACTATAGAACTTCTGTAATTGAACCTTGGCAGCAGCAGATGAACCGTAAATGCGAAAATAAATATTTATATAGTTTGAAGAACTGTATATGAATATTATTGACTGTTCAATAAACAAAACTGAGGAAGCGACCTTTTCCGTACACTTGCATTTTATGTGTAGTACATAATGGATCTAGAATAAAATAAATTTGAAGCTGTCATGGGCAGTCAGAACAGATTCTGTAATCATTTAAAGGATTATAGCTTGAGGGTCATGCCAACTGGAAATCTGAATCTGTTTATCTTTTATTTTACTTTTTTGTAAAATGCGATTTTTAAATAGATTTACAAAGAATAGTAAATTTAATTTTCTGAGCCACTCTTGAATATTGAAGACACTCAGAATATTTGCAACACCAACAATTTGAGCGCATGTTTAACAAAATCTTATCACACTTGATTTTCTACTATTCAGATTTCTCCTACATAAGTGAACGTTTATAACCTTTTTTTATTTGCAAATCATAACATTTTGAATAGTTGTAGTTTATGGTGTCTTTACACTTTTTAACTTATGGTCAGCTGATTCTTTTCACTTGTTCCTAAAAGCACCTTTTCAAGAAGTAAGCATTGTTATACAACGCAAGAGTTTCAACACACAATAGAATGACGTTTACTGCCTCTGATTAACTCAGTGGAAGTCTTCAGATTATGTGAAGTTATTAAAGAATTCATATTTTTATTGACCAGTGTTCTTTACCCACTTATTTTCAAATCTGTTTGGATTCCTCCCCTTTATTTGTCGATTTTAGTTAAATTCCAGAGTTGTTTTTTTTTGTTTTTTAAATGTCCATTGACACATCCATTGGAGAGAAGTCTTTTAGGTTGGAAGATATGTTGTCTCTCCATTGCTCATTTAAAATGGTGCTAATGTTTTTTGTTTTTCTTTTTTTCTTTTAAGATTTGTTCCCTCAGATGAAAAAAAGAGACAAGGATGCCAGAGAGAAAATGAAACTTTAATTCAAAGAAGAAAGGATCAAATGCAGCCTGGCGGTACAAACATCAGTGTTACGGTCCCATACAGAGTTGTAGACCAGCCCCTAAAGCTCTTACCACAAGACTGGTATGTTTTCCACCAATGGGCCAAATTGCATAACTCTTCGGCATATTGTCTTTTATTCTTGAAACATTTTTAATATACCTTATGTAGATAATGCAATAAATGCATTTTCAATTTAAAAAATTAGTTTAAAAATAAATAAAATTAATGACTTCTTGGTTTTCGAAACTGCTGCAGTTACACAGACAAGTTTGACCATTGTTAGAGATTTTTCCTGGTCTGGGAAAGTTATCCAATCTGAAACCCTGGCCATTCTGATCTACGGCAATAGTTCTTATAGATGTGTGTCTGACACCGTTCCACTCGTTATGTGATGAGCATAATTACCGAATAAGCTGATAGCAGCCAAACCATAATTGCTATACGTTTATACGCAACCCTTTTTGTCAGTAACGGTCTACACAACTTGGGCTTAAAGCAATTTGTAAACTGTTAAACCAATTAAGTATAAGGGACACTATAGTCACCAGAACAACTACAGCTTATTGTGTTTGCTCTGGTGAGTATAATCATTCCCTTCAGGCTTTTTTCTGTAAACACTACTTTTTAAATAGAAAATGCAGTGTTTACATTACAGCCTAGTGATAACTTCACTGGCAACTTCAGATGGCTGCTAGAGGTGCTTCCTTGGGCAGAACTGCAGAGTAAGCAGCACTGCCATTCAGTGTTTCCACCCTCTGCATGCAGACAATGAACTTTCCTCATAGAGATGCATTGATTCAATTCATCTCTGAGAAGATGCGATTGGCCAGAGCTGTGTTTGACTTGTGCTGGATTTGATCTGCCCCTGATCTGCCTCCTTCAGTCTCAGACAATCCTATGGGGAAGCAGACAGAGGCCGTTCAGGGGTAGAAGCAGCAGCTTCAGACTTGAATACAAGTAAGATTTTTACTATATTGAGGGAGGCCAGGGGGGCTTGATGGTGCTTTTAACATTATTGGCTCAGGAATAGACGTTTTTGTTCCTGAACCTATAGTGTTCCTTTAAGGCAATGCCCAGGACATCCAGGCACAATAACTATATTGAAATTAGGTGTATAATATGGTGCTCAGTGTATAAAGTTTCAAATATCATATTGTCCTGTTTAGGGATCTACCGATATTGATTTTTTTTTTTTTTTTTTTAGAGCCTATACCGATATTCTGTGAACTTTCAGGCCGATAGTCGATATAATTTGCCGATATTCTGTACATTTACCATTTTGGAAAATAAAAACAATTTCTAAAGGTAAATGCACAAAATATACATGCAGTGTGTTTAGACAGAGGAGCTGTGTGTGTAGTGGATGCAGTGTGTGTAGTGGATGCATAATGGGGGGGGGGATGTGTTTGTGAGGGGGCATTTTTTATTAAAATTTTTTTATATTTAATAATTAATTATTTTTGTTGTCCCCCCTCCCTGCTTGTTGCCTGGCCAGGGAGGAGGTATATAGCATTCCCTGGTGGTCCAGTGGCATTGGCTGAGCTGTGGGGGGGGCGGGCAGCAAGCGCTTACTCACCTCCCAGCAGCTCCTCCAGCTCCCCAGTGTAAGTCTTGCGGCCAGCGTGCCACGCGGGTCTCTCGAGATTTACACTGGGAGCTGGAGGAGCTGTTGGGAGGTGACTAAGCGATTGCTACCCGCCCCCCCAAGGACCGCCGGGTTTGTAAGGAGCCTGGCGGTGCTAGGAGGTATTATCGGCAATATCTGTATCTGTATCTGAATTGGCCGATACGATATTGCCAAAAAAATACTGAATATCGGCCGATTAGATTGGTCGATCCCTAGTCCTGTTCTATAGATAGTTATGTAATATTGTCATTCAGATTACACAGCTTGTGTGTTAAAGGGCCCCTATATAGTGCCTAAAACGACGTAAACTTGTTTAAAAAAAAAAAAAAAAGCATTAAATTCAATCTATAAATTGTGCTAGCAGTTTTGCTAGCAAATGTATAGGTTTGCAGAAAAATATTTAGAAATGTTTTTTCAACTGTCAGTCAATTCTTTGGCATAGACTCTATGCCGAAGAATTGATTTATAATAGGTTGAAAGACTTCCCACAATACCTCACTCATCGCATGTTTCCTCACACGCTTTTTTGCTCGGAGAGTCAGTATTACTTTACAAGCATTTGCACACTGGAACACCCCACTGTCGCAAAAAAAGTGCATCTTTCCCCCTAACATGAGTTGGCACGCAAACTGTTGTTGTGGTTAACATTATGCTATATCTTGAATTACTGCATAACAAAACAAAAAAGTGCTCAGTTTACACACATTAAATGTAACCAGTATGACAGTGTATCAACACACAGTTATTTAAATAAACGTTACAAAGCCTAGGTTATATATGGCAACACAAATTTAAAAGCAAAAGCCTTCTATAGATCATTAGCTAAATGAAATAAGACTTCATGGTCGCTAACTTAAAAAAAGTAAGGCAAAATAGAAGGCTAAATGCTGCCAGACACCCAGATGGAGTAATAGGATACTCCCTAAATCCCCTAAACCGCTAGCAGAGTTCCCTCCAATTGCATCCACATAACTACTTGTCTAAAGTACAAACTATTATAACCAACTACATAATGAAATAAAAAGTACTGTTTACACATGCCATACCTATGTTATATATTATGTGCGCTTGGTAATGCTGTTGTGGCAAAACAGGCATCGTTGTACTAGATGCCATTAATAGACTACAATCCTGCTCTATAACAGAAAATATGAGAACTCTGCTCTGAGAATAGGCAAAAATTTAGACCTCATTAGTTTACCATTCAGCTAGTTCCTGCTCAAGCCTCAGTTTCTGCTCACGTGTGCCATTATAAAGAATCTATATAATTTATATATCCGACTGATCCTGCACATAACGGCAGTCCAGATCCAAAATGCCTGTAAGTTCCATCTGTATGAGAGATGCAACAATCTCAGATGGCCGTTTCTGCCTTTTTTGAGCTTCGTTGGTGAGGAGTAGCGGACACCTTTCTAGGCAGAGTGAGCAGGTGTTATACTATTGGAATACTCTTTTTAACTTTGAGAGCTCCTAAGCAAATTCATTGAGACAAAACTAGAGAATATGAGAACTCAAAATTTTTTTTTTTTTTTTTTTAAGGCAGGGCTTGACAAATACACTTCTTAAAGGGATACTATAGTCACCAGAATCACTACAGCATAATGTACTTGTTCTGAAGTCTATATACTGTCCCTGCACGCTTGTCAATGTAAACACTTTTCAGATTAAATGCAGGGTTTACATTGCTGTATGGTAACCCCTCTGGTGAGTCACTCAGACGGCCTCTAGAAGTGCTTCCTGGGTCACTGCTGCACAGTGTGCAGCACTTACATTAATGCTTCACATTGGGATGCATTTCTCCAACGCATCTCTGAGATGTTTATTGCGCAACATGGCATTTTTCCATGCATGTGCAATAGTCTCCCAATGTTTTTCTGTGAGGAAACATTGGAATGTCTGAGATCATCAAGGTTTATGGAGGTGGGGTCAGCTGCGGTGTCACCAGCATGACATGGGGAAAAGGGGTGCATAAAAATACCCTTTCCATGTGATTTGGAGGGGGGCAGGTTATCTAAACATATATACTCTCTAACACACTTATTTGGTATATGCACACTCGCGCGCATATATACACGCGCATATGCACGTGTGTGTGTTTTCACCTACAAATCATTACTTTTATTATTTTAAATCCACTCGACCTCCCTAGCTTTGGGAAAGCCGGGGTCCAGTGGGGCTATTGTAATCTCTCTGCTTTGCTCCCAAGAGAGCAGTTTAGTGATGGCTGAAATTGTCTTATTCCGGCTCCCGGCATCATTGTAGGGCGCGCAAGAGAGCAGAGCAAGGAGATTACAGTTCCCTCCCTCAGCTCTTAATGAGCCAACTGTCCACCTGCCTGTCCGCCTAAGCTCTGTGTGAACCCACTACCCGCCTCCAATCTCGGACAGCTGGTCACCTCATGGGCTGAATAGGCTCCCAAGCAAATTTCCTGGTCACATGGTGACCTGGCGCCTGAGATTTGTCAAGCCATGTTTTAAGGTAAAGTTTTAAAAGTAGATTCATGCATATTGGCAAATAGTGCTAACATATTTCGAAACCATTACAAAGGGCATTTGGTTTCCTCAAAATTATTTAAATGTAGGAAATAGAATTTTAATGAGTTGATATGGAGAAGCTTGTATGTATGTTTATGTGAATACATGCAAAGACATAAAAACATCCATCCATTCAAAAAAAAAAAACCACACACACACACTCATAGTTGGAAAATGTAGTATTAAAATGTTTAGTCTGAGATGGCAAAACTGCAGGGGCTGGTGCTGTAGATCTGAGCATTCTAATTTGAGATATTGCTGCAGGCCACCTGGTGCCTCTTGATTCAAAGATTTCCTCTGCATCTGTCCACTTCTTACTGTAACATATATTACTGATAACCTTGCGAGCGAGCACTTGCTTATAACAAGGACATTGATTTGTAACAGGCCTATAACCCACTGAGTTTTTATTTAAATGTAACGCAGATTTAAACATGTTAAGACATTAAACCAATGGCTAGACCCTTCTTCACTATAATGGAAATTATATAAAAACGATTCATAATTGCCTTTTATTGTTAATATGAAGACTGTATTTTCGTGTAGTTGCTGACTTGGTATTCAGATTATTCTAAATGTCTCTCTGGGCAGATAGTTAGTGCCCCAACTGCCTTTGCCTTTCTGTAATTGCACAGCAATATCTTATTGCTCAGAAGTATTTGCAAAAATGTGGGCTGGAAATCTAAAGTGACAGTGATGTTTGGGCTGATTTGCATATTTCACATGACACTGAGTGTTTTGTCAAAGTATAATCTTTCAGAGCTGCTGTGTATAGGGCATGTTTTAAGGTTTCATAGGGGTGGGTACATTGAATTTGTTTATGAGTCTTACCCAAGCCAGGTGAAGATTTTTGTTTCACCGCTTTATCTCCTCTGCATGTTCTTATAGGTTGCACTTCACTACTCCCTAGTTTAGGCAAAAATCTCCTTGCTTGTTTTGAAAGTTTAATATGTCAATAAACTTTGCCTGTTCATGCATGTATGTAACTCAAGAGTAAAGTATTAAAGGGATACTATAGGCATTCGGACCACTTCATCTCATTGAAGAGATATGGGTGCAGTTTTCCCATAACCCTTAAATGTAAAACATTACTGTTTTAGAGAAACTTCAAAGTTTACATTGCAATGTTTGCCTGTAGTGGCTGCCACCAGCGCTTCTTGCATTTACACAATTAATTAAAGGTAAACTTCAGTGCCAGGAAAACAATCTGTTTTCCTGGCACTGCAGGTCCCCTCTCCCTCCCACCACCCAATCCCCAGTTGCTGAAGGGGTGAAAACCCCTTCAGTAACTTACCTGAGGCAGAGACGATGTCCCTCGTCGCGGCTTCCGCCGCCGCCACCGCTCCTTCTCTGCATCGGCCGGTGGGCGAGACTGATCCCGCCCACCGGCCAGGGAGACCTAATGCGCATGCGCTTTAGCACTCCCCATAGGAAAGCATTGAAAATGCATTTCAATGCTTTCCTATGGGGAAATGAGCGACGCTGGAGGTCCTCACATAGCGTGAGGACATCCAGCGACGCTCTAGCACAGGTTTCCTGTGCTAGAAACCAGGAAGTGCCCTCTTGTGGCTGTCTAGTAGACAGCCACTAGAGGTGGAGTTAACCCTGCAAGGTAATTATTGCAGTTTATAAAAAAAACTGCAATAATTACACTTGCAGGGTTAAGAGTAGTGGGAGTTGGCACCCAGCCCACTCAAATGGGCAGCAGTGGTCTGGGTGCCTGGAGTGTCCCTTTAACCTCTGTAAAACGACACTGGACGTCCTCAAGCTTTACATGGGGCCATCCAGCGTCTTTAAAATGCTTTCCTACACTGCACATTAGGTTCACGGATCGACATGACTTAGTGGGAGGAGGAGCACGATCCCAGCTGTAATCAAGAAAGTGAGAAATAAATTTTAAAAAGGAACTCTAGTGTTAGCAATACAACTGTTTGTATTCCTAACACTAGTGTTCCTTTAAGGCATAACCTACATGTTCAACATTTAAGTGTTTGTTCCGACATCACTGCCACTCCTGTTCCTTTCCTCTCTGCATGTGAAGAATAGTGATGGGCTGAGAATGTCAGCTTAACAAAGTTATGAAGATTGGAGTGTTCATTTAGGAGATAATGGGCCTCCATGTCTTAAATTGTCATTTAAATCTTGTTTTGTTTTATGGGGCCCACTAAACTGGGAATTGTGGCAAATTGACAAGAGAATTGCAAAGGCTAGATCAAATTTTTTGAGGCTGGAAATATTCTTGAATCTAGACATTTTCCCCTAAAACATGTAATTTAATCACATGACAGGAGGCTTCATATTTTGCTTAAGTCTCTACTTAAGCTCCACTGTTTTTTCCTTATTTAGAAATAAACAATATGAGACTGAAAGAAACAGGTGTGCAAGAATTGCTCGACCAATGCATAAGTCGTTTGGGAATAAACTCTTCCTGCAATAAATGCAAATGCACCTGGTCCTTGGTTCATAATTATATCTGTAGAATTCCTTCCACAGGTCTTGGTTTTTGTGCTTTTAACCAGGTCTTTTGTTTTTCGATCAATCTGTTCCGTCCTTGGCTAAAGACCTATACACGGAGTTTGTACATTACACTGTGGCATGTTTCAGTTTAATAGTTTTGAGAGTCCACCATCCGCTCTTGATAATGTGAGCAGATAATATGGCTATTTAAAGGAGTCTCTATAATCTCTTAGCCCACTGTGTTTTGTTTTGTTTTTAACAAACTTATTTTATTTATTTTTTTATGCCTTGTATATTATTTTGTAAACTGGTTTTATTGCGTAGGGAATGTCTGACACCAGTTGATTTAATTAGACCAGTTTCTGGACTCTAGTAAGTTTATGCTTTTCTAAATTTGCTGCAGGACAATTTTTCCCCTTTTAGTTAATTCAATGTAAAAGGTACTATCTTAAAAGGCACCATAACTACATCAAAATGACATTGTGGTGGCAGGAGGTCCCTGACGTTTGCTCACTTGAACGGTTTAACCTCAGTGTGTGTTCCAGCGCCAAATCTCACTGAAATCTTTAAACGGGAAGGCAGACTTGGGCAGCGTTGCTGCTGACTGGCTGAGAGTGGTTGGCTGACACTCAGCCAATTAGTTACTCTCCATGGCTGAAAAGGGTGTGTTTTTTTTTTTTTGTTTTTTTTTTAAAGACAGTTTTCTGAATGAGGAGTTACTGTCTTAGATTGACAGCTGACTGCTTTCAGCCGATCAGTGGTGGTCCTGCCCAATTCTGCAAATACCTTCCATTTGAAAGATTTGAAGAAACAGGAGAGAAGCAGGAAGATTCGGCGCTGCAACACAGACTTTGGGGTCAATTGTTTGAGAACTGTTTAACCCCTAAAGGTGAGCTAGCGCAAGGGACATCCTGGCAACATAACTTAATTTTGCTGAGGTTATGGTGCCCAGAGTGTTCCTTTCACGTTCCAATCCTGGCAACCACATGTGTTAGGAGCAATGTACAGATCAAGATACAGATACTTTATTTATTTATTTATTTTCTCTTAAAGGGAAATCATAGGCGCACACACCACTTCAGCTCATTGAAGTAGTCTGGGTGCAGTGTCCCAGGTCTTTTAACCCTGCAATGGTAATTAATTGCAGTTTTTATAAATGGCAATTTCCTTGCAGGGTTAGCAGACACCCACCAGCGGGCCTTCCGGTTGTTTAGGCAACTTTGGATCATCCTCACGCTATGCATGAGGACATCTTGCGTTATCCAAAACTCCATAGGAAAGCATTATACAGTGCTTTCCTATGGGGTAAGTCCTAATGCGAGAGCGGCTCTTGTTGCTCATGCACGTTAGGTCCCCCTCACTGGCACTATAGTTTCCATTTAAAGCTTGTCCTTTCTTCCCCAACAACTCGCAGTGCTGAGTTTTTGCTCTAATAGTGTTGCTGTACACAGTACCACTCATTTCTGGTCTTATTTGAGTCCATTGAGCTAAGTCACTCAGAAATCCTTGCTATGCTCATTAAACACTGCTTATGAGATAATCTCAGGAGTATTCTAGAACATTAAATGCAGTATAAGGACCTTAACCACTACATGCCAGTGTAGTGGTTATGGTGAATTTCAGTTGTGAATTGCCATCATCTTTCCTGGTAAAATGTTTTATAAAGTCTGGTTCGTAGTCAAGCCATTTTTAAGCAGTTTGACCAGAGCCTGAGATTCTTTATCTGCAGTATCCATCTTGTCCATATTTTAACTACTTTCTTTATCTTGGCAATTCTGGCGAGCAGAGCCAGCCTTTTGTGCCTCAGGGACCCCTTGGTTTTGGTCAAACCACTCAAATCGTTTGACCAAAAACCCTGGAGGATTTGCCTGCAAAGGTTATTCTGCTTAGACTGGTTCTTTAAATGAGCATGATTGGCACTTTCTCGTCTGGAAGGGTAGAAGATGCAAAGCCTGTAATTTTGCAGTAAATACACGAAACTCAAATGTGGGCTTAAGGATTTGTTATCTAAAGATGTTGTGTATGTTCTCTTGCTTAGGAGTCACTTGATGAGCTTTATTTTTCAGTGTTTAACTCTTGTTTCTTTAGGGATCGTGTGGTAGCTGTGTTCGTTCAAGGTCCTGCGTGGCAGTTCAAGTGCTGGCCCTGGCTGTTACCCGATGGATCCCCTGTAGACATATTTGCAAAAAGTAAGCCTTTTCATTTCATGTATTACACAACAATATTTGTAACCATGTGGTTAAAAAAAAACATGAACATTGAACACTCTTAAATCTCAGAGTACCTGTAATGACAATACAACTTAATCTTAAATGTTTTTCACCTATAATCGGTAGAATTGATAGCAAATGTCTAGACATCTCTAAAATCAGAGGTCAGCTCTTCCCCTTTCTCAGTCTGTGCTGATTAAGAACCGAGATAAAGACTGTGCTTTGCATGTCTGTTACTAGGTGAAACCCTCCTGTGGGTGTATCTCCTGATTGAATTCAGCAATGCCTGCAAGAAGAAGTAAGGATGAGGGGCAGGCTATGCGTGAGAGCAGCATAAAAAAGAGCCAGCATGATTTATTGCAGTAATTTTGGACAGGCAATGGGAAAATGGAGCCTAAGAACAGATTTTATTTACATGTCACTAAGAAAACAAAGTGTTGGGGACTTTTAACCTCCTATGGAAAGAAAGTATTCCTGCTGAAAGGCTCGCATCTCCTGGAGATAACACCCAGTGAAACATGATAAATGCTCTCAGCAGGAGACAGAGGAAACTGAAATAAATTATGAGCTGTTAAAGGGACACTGCCTTAATAAACTTGTATTTATTTATTTAATTTAATTATATTTAAAAACTGCTTGCAAAACCGTTCTCTTGTCTGTTGCCTTTGCAAACCCCTTCTGTTCTAAGGGACTCTGTGGCTGTCCAATTGCAGAATTCCCAATGCAGCTCAATGCTAGGCAGGTGCTCTGCCCAATTGCTGCCTCATGAGTTTAACTCCACTGAACTACCCAAACCAGGAAGTAACGGGACCTGCTATCTGATAGCCAGGGGGTGTAACCTGGACAATTTATAGAAATGTAAATTTCTACAGAAATTTGCAATTTTTTGTAAAATGAAAAACCTAGGACACTCACACGTAAAACTTTTCAGCAAGCTATAGGTCCATATCTTTATCGGTGTTAACGGAAGAAATACTTTTATAAAAGGAGTCAAGCCCCAGATGGTTTGAAAGAAACTGCAACCAGGTTCACTTTAACTTGTTACACAGTTGTAGATTTTAGTCACACCAGTGTAAAATTTGGAAAGATGTATATTAATAAAAGCACATCCATTGTGCCAAAATGAAAAGGTTTTTTTTTTTGTTTTTTTTTTCGGTATTACAAATTGTAGTTATAAGATTTATTGTTGGTGGTGGTGTTGAAAATGCCAGTTTCTTTAAAGGAATGAATAAAAACATACATATATACATACATACATACATACAGCACATCTGTGGCAGTTTATATGAAATTGTGTTTTTTTTTTTTTTTTATGGCTCTAGTCTAAATGTGTCACTAATAATAGTGTTTAAGCTAAAAATCATGTGGTAGATGCCTCGGTCACGGATTCAAACAATCACAAACAAGTACTGTTTCAAGAAGTATCAGTCTGTTCCTGTCAAGGGATCTATATATTTTTTCTTTGTTGTATAGTTGAACAACCTTTGAAGGATAAAATACAGAAAACGTAGGTTCATGACAAGAACAGTTTCTTAATGTGTTTGAACATAGAGCGCACACACACTCATCTGCACTCAGTAGCTCCTTTATTGGGTACAGTTATTTAGTACAAGGTAGTAACCCCTGTGTCTACATTCTTTTGCTGTACACGTTTGAGATTCTGATTAAAATCATATTCAAGATTTTGGTCCCTGTTAATAGCAGCATGCACATCCTGCAAATTTTTCGGCCTAATATTTGTTTTGATTTTTCTCTTAAACCTAAACACAACTGAATGTGTCTATTTTTGTGGATTCAGCTTGAAATAATGCATTTATCATCTTTTTTTTATCATAGATGTATCTCTTTGCAAATTAATAGTAAAATCCATAAAAGTATGTACGGGGCAGTAATGGCTTAGGGCATTCATTTAATGCCCAGTTTGTTTTAAGGCAGTGGTTTTGTATTGTTTAGCATTAATGTAAAGAGCTACTGTACGTTTACAGAATTTTACTCAAGTTGAATTATATAGTTAAATGAACACTGTCAGGAATACAAATGTGTATCCTGACACAATAGTGCAATAGTGTTAAAATCCATTAAAAAGGTGTAAAACTGACCTACATTCCAGCACTGCGTGGGTCTCACTGGAAGTGCTTTGCCTCATTGGCTAATATCAGAATTGACTAGGCCAATGTATTGGAAGACTATAGCGCATGCACGGCGAAACGCCTCACTGCGCAATGCTAATCAGCATCTCCTAATAGAGATGTATTGAATCAATACATCTCTATGAGGAGGGTTCAGCATCTCCATGCAGAAAGCACCTCTAGTGTCCATCTCAGTGGTTGCCACTAGAGGTGTTCCTAGGCAGTAATGTAAATGTTCCAAAAGCTTGCAAGGACATACTATTCACACCAGAACAATTGCATTAAGCTGTAATTCTGGTTATTATAGTGTCCCTTTAACAAATATGCATTTTTTGAGGCGTGAAAAAATAAAATTAAATGTAGAAATGAACACCCCTTTTTTGCAACTGGGGACCTCCATCTTGATTCCTTCTAAATCATTGTTAAAAGTACTGTCCTCTGCAAAGAAAGAGTACAAATAATAGGCTAAATACTGCAAATGAAGAAAACCAGAATCAATATTTTATTTGCATTGACTATGCCTTGTCTCGACTGGATTGTGACATAATTTGCTAAATCTTTAATATACATTTAAAACAAAATAGAGCATATTATGAAAAAGAACACATTTTCAATAATATTAAGAGAGAGTTCCACTTTAAAAGGTCCTCGAAGTAGAGAAAAAGCTGAACTTTGACTGAAATTGGTAAAAACAAAAAACATGCAAAAAGAGAAATGTGAGATTAAAAGTGAGGAACATGGGGTTTACCAAATCAAACCTTGGTTATTTTATTTTCTCCAATTATTTATCTTTTTGTTCTGGATGTTCACTTTCATTAAATAGACACTGTAGGCGCTGTAACTGATTAATTGCATTGTCTGGAGTCCTCTGGCTTTTTTTAATGGTTTAACCCCTTAAGGACACATGACCGGAAATATTCCGTCATGATTCCCTTTTATTCCACAAGTTGTGTTCTTAAGGGGTTAATGATCACGGAACATCCACTCTGAGCTGATCAGGCTTATTAGGAAGCATTTAGCAGTGGTGATTGGCTAAGAATGTCAGCTGACTGCTTTCAGCCTATCAGTCACCCACTGCTTGTATGAATTGGTAAGAGCATCATCTTTGCCTTAGCCATACCTCCAGTGGGTAACTCATGTGGGGTGTGCTAGGTTGTGGGTAACTCATTGAGTATTCGAACAAGTTACAATTTACTGTCCCCGGGGTCTGCAAGCACTTTAACCAATTCGGTGTGTTGAAATAGTTATTGGAAACAAGAGTACAGTCTTTATGATTTCCTGATATGTAAAACCATAAAAATCAATCATGTGTTCCTTTGCAGGTTTTAAAATTAGGTAAATACAACCTCCGATAAACACGACATTGCACTGTGCCATGAATTATTTAACAAAAATAAACCTAAAATGGAAAGTTGTGTGATAAGCGAAGTACACCCTTACTGCTTCCTTAGCAATTAATAGGCGAAGTAGCAGACAGGTACTGCTAATCAAAAGCTCTTGATTACTTGTTCATAAAGTGTGACCACCTCTATAAAAGCTTTGGGGTTTGCTGGTCTGGAGCATTCAGGTATGTGTGTTAACACAATGCCAAAGAGAAATACATCAGCAATGATCTCAGAGAAGCAATTGTTGCTGCCTATCGAGCTGTGGAAGGCCTTTAAGGGCATTTCCAAACTGTTTAAATCAAGGCGGGACTTTAATAGAGCTGTGCATAATCAAGTGTCCGCAAACCTCCATGAACTGAAGCAACGTCGTAAAGATTGGGCCAAAATTACTCCACAATGATGTGAGAGACTGATAAAGTTCTACATAAAACAATTACTTAAAGTTATTGCTGTTAAAGGTGGTTCTGCAAGCTATTGATTCATAAGGTGTACTTGGTTTTTCAACCGTGGCTTCTCCATTTTCGCTTTTTGTCTTAAATCATGATGCAGTGTAATGTGTCAATTGTTATTCATCTGAGGTGTTACCCAACTTACCTAATTTTAAGACCTGCTAAGGAACTGTTGATTATTTCTCAAATGTAAATCCATAGATTTCAAAGAGGGTGTACTTTTTTTTTTCCATGACTATTTATAATGCCTATAGTGTTGGGTAGGAAGTTGACCCCTTCTCCACATAGCATTTACCCTAGAGCAGTGGTTCCCAGCCCAGTCCTCCAGTACCCCCTAACAGTTCAGGATTTACGGATTAAGTTGTGGCTAAGGTGTTTTTAGGAGAAGAAATAAAATAAAAAAAAACTTTAGACACAACAGGTTATTCCTAAATTCTGGACTGGCAGGAGGTGCTTGAGGACTGGGTTGGAAACCGCTGCCCTAGAGCAAATTTCTCTATTTAGTGTTGCTGGTTAGTCAAATGTATAAGCCATCCTGCAGCTTTTTTATTTCTAATCTTTTTATAGCTTAGGCACCTGTTGGACAAGCCATTCCCCTGACCTCTATGATTATTCAGTTAGCCCATCATGTGAAACCTTTCTTCACCTTTGTAGTTGACAAATGTATGAAGAATCACATAAGCCTTAATTACCTGTTTAGAATTCTGAATTATTTTGCAGGAAAATAAAATGTATTTCTGATATTGAAAAGCAGACATTGGCCAATTATGGATTTACCGGTTTGTGGTGTAACCATTTATAGATTTAATCAGTGAGATGCCACAGTGCCTGCGTTTACAGATTACATTTTATTTTACGCTCTGTAGAATAGCAGTTCTTGCGGTGTTAAAGTAGTAATGGCATGCCTGTCCCTAGTATACGCTCAGAATCAAATTCAAAACATGTTTGCTTTACACAGTATAAAACAAATTTAAAAAAAAAACACATCATAACCCAAATCATAGTAGTATTTTTTTTTTTTTTTTAAATCCTCATTTACAACTTCTGAAATGAAACACATTAAGTTATCTTTCATTTTGTCTTAAATTTCAGTAAAAGCCTTCCACCTCAAGTATGATGAAGTTCGATTGGATCCCAATGTACAAAAGTGGGATGTGACACTCTTGGAGTTAAGTTACCACAAACGGCATTTGGACAGGCCGGTTTTCCTGAAATTCTGGGAAACTTTGGACAGGTAAGCAGCTGTGTTCACAGAATTAAAAAATATATATATTTTTTTTATAGATGTTTGTTTTTATATTATATATATGTAAAATTAATTTTCAAGATTTTTATTTTCTATATCTTGTAGTGGTCCTAGATTGATCAGTTGTCACTGTTCTCATATTTTGAAATTGAATTATGGCACATTGATGGTTTATCTATTCATGCCCTAGCTTTTTATCAGCTACTTGTGTCTATGATTGAGGTTGTTTTGTCACTTTTGTGATTTTTCACCATAATTTCCTGCTTCCTCGTTAAAAGAAAACTGAGCACCGTAACCCAAGGCTTGACAAATTTGCTTTAAATATAGGAGCCAATTAAAAAAGTTAGGAGCCAGTGTTTTTTTATTTTTATTTTTTATATATTTTTTTTAAACTAGCAAGGCATTATTTTCAATGACAAAATTAAAAGATCTTAAAGGGACATTATAGTCACCAGAGCCACTACAGCTTAAAGTAATGGTTCTGGTGTCTGTAGCCTGCTTCTGCAGGCTTTTAATTTGATACCTCTAACCACCCTTAGTGGCAGTCTATGAGACAGTCACTCTTGGTGCTTCCTAGTCCAGTGCTGCACATTGTGAAGCACCTATGTTCAGTGTCTCCACACTAATTCAATGCATCTGAGGATGCATTTTGCCTTGCTTGTGCATCAGCCTCCCAAAGCTTTCCTATGGGAAAGCATTGAATTGGCAGAGCTTAATCTCAGCCATGATGGCAGGGCCAGCTGTGGTGACACCGGCATTAGCAAAATGGTGAGCAAAATCTGTGGGTGGCTGGTGAACTAAATAGTTTAATGCTGCAGTGCCAGGAATACATGTTTATTCCTGACACTCTAGTGTTCCATTAAATTTAAACTTATTGGAGGCTAGAACCAAATTCATGGGCATTTAACTTATGCAAAAAATGAATATATTTTTATGTGGTTTTGTGCAATGTATCACATTTTTAACTTGGCTTTTTAAAAATGTTTTATTTTTTGTTGTGCATGGGTGGTACATGACAGTATTTCTGACTGTTAAGCAGCATAAATCATTATAAACTTGTGAGAAGACAGAACAGTAGAGCTTAGTCTGCACATATTGTATGTATTATGCAGGCTAGAAAGACCGTGTTGGTGCTGGGTTTTAGTAGGTTATCAGACTAAAACATGAGGTGAAAGCACTGGTTGTATAAACTGAATTAGATTAAGGACATTATGCCCATGAGTAGTAGTATGCTATTCCTAACCGAAGAGTAGGAAACAAAAATACAAAAACCAGGTACATTATACCAGAGTGTGAAATCATATAAAAATAACGTAACTGCAGTTCTGTGGTAAGTTTGGTAAAATCTTCGCCTGGTGCCTTCACTCTATGCCACATATGGGCCTCAGCAAAGCGTCCATGGTAGTAATGGTTGCTCAGGCAGGGATCTCATTCAGCCGATGCCTGCCAGGGATACCTGGCATTCCTGCAACACAGCGAGGCAGTGCGATTCTCTGTGCCCAAGCTTTGATAGAAGTGGCCGGTCTGCTTGTAGAGTCAGGATCTGGAGTGGAGCGAGGTGGTGCAGTCCTCTGGACCCAGGAACCATCAGGTGGGGCATGTGCGCTAGTAGCTCATATTTTTCTGTAGTGCTTTATGTCCCTGGTAGTGTCTCATATGAAGTTTTAGCTTCTTGTGCTGGAGAATGTTTTTGTGATGTGGTGAAGGGGATACATCGACGTGTTGTTCCTGAGACATATTATAACTTCCCCTAAATTGGGTAACTATTAATTTTATAAAACTAATCACAAGCCCCTTTTTATGCCCTTAAAAAGTATCTATCAGCCTTTTTAGCGCTCCGATATATCCGATCTTTACGTATTATGGACCGCGATCACCCCCGACAGTCCCTGTGGGGGGAGTAACGGGTCTCTGGCTCATGCGGCGTCTGACTGGGAGATCGACCGCCTCTCCCACCTGATACACACAAGGCCTCATGTTGCGAGGAATGCGACCAGCAAGCTCCAGTTGGGTCACAGACCACAGTGTCGGTTCCTAGTCAAATCGTGTGTCAGGTGAGTTGCTTGTTGTCGCCTAAATTAACTGGGGCTAAAAGTGCCATGAATTGCCCCAATTATTGAGGGGCTCTCCTCCATGCTAGTCAGGCCCCACGCCCCTTCACTTGGCTTTTTGGTGCCATGAACATGCCTTGTATTTTTAGAATTGAAGTACCAATACTCACACACACACACGGATGACACCCGCATGCTCACATTCTCACACACTCCCAAATTGTTTTAAGTCCACCCAGCCACCCCACCTTTTGGAGAACTAGAGTCCAGTGGAGCGGTTATGATCCTGTAAACTTCAAGCTCTTCTTGCACGGTTCCCTCGCAAGCCATTAGTGATGCTGGTGCTGCTGTGGCATCGTATTCCAGCTCACAGCAGGAGTACAGCCAGGGCTGTAGAAGATATGGTAAAGGTTCAATGAATACCAGGCACTAGGTTGCCGTGGCAATTAGGAATTTGTTTTGGCTCCTGAGATTTGTCGAGTCTTACCATAACCTCCTCAGCTCTGACTCCTGCGGCTGTAGTTCTACTTCTAAAGTCTCCTAGCAGAAGATTTCTCTTAGCGCTTCTGAGCTAAGCGTGGTCGCACTTACTGGCTCAGAGCATTAGCAGAGCACTCTCGGCTAATGAACACAGTTTCAGACCTTCTTAGTTCGTTGAGGTCATCTGGCTTCTCCTACAGAAGTCTACCAGATGCAACAAGGCATAGGAACCCAAGTAAGTTGTCAGACTGTTCCTAAACTGTTTTTTCTATTCGAGGGCACCAGCGTTATGGTACATGTGCATTGTCATGGTTTGGTGAATAGGGCAGTAAGCAGTCTGATTACTGCTATGTAATACAGGCTGAAGTACTGTTATAAAAAACACCTACTGGCCATTAATTCATATTATAATGAACTCACCCACCTCCCTCTAGAGACTAGAATGAGAGGCTCCTGATTGTTTGTTCCTGGTGTGAAGAGTTCTAACAATTGCTTCTGCTCTGTGTGTTAGCAGAAACCGGTGTTTTATTTTTCATAAAAATATACATGAAGGCAGCTGGCATGATAGAGAGTTAATCTGGCAAACATTTCTACCCCAGGCAATAATTTGTCATATTTATTAACCCTTGTTTTTCTTTGGGTTTTTACTATATATTGGGGCTGATGTGTACTGTAGTCATTGCTGCCGCCCAGGAGTGATGGGAGTGAGCGCAGGACTTATCTTTCGGTATTTGTAATAATTTCAGTCTTCACTGTTTTTATAGTGCAAGGAGTGGTTTGTGATCTTGTGGAATCCTCCATAGACACTCTTGGACATAAATTTCCCGGATCTGAAGCAGCATAGCCGCTCCAATGAGGGGCAGCTTAAGCATATTTTCATGACTTCTCTAGAGCTGCACCGTTCCTGTCAAACTCCCTTCCCTTTTTCCGTTAGACGCTCACCTAGTCTCCACTATTTTAAATAATAATTAAAACTCACTTTTTCACAAAAGCATTTCAATTAAACTCAATCATTTAATTGGTTGGGATATGTTATAAACCACCTAATGTAAATTTCTTTGAGGAAGCACAGCTGTTAGAGCAAATTGAGAAAGCTGCAAATCGAGGTAACACGTTAATTATTGGAGATTTTAGTTATCCAGACATAAATTGGGAAAGAGGGACTAGTACTTCAGCAAGGGGCATCAGGTTTTTGAATGTGTTAAATGACACCTTTATGTCACAACTGGTACAAGCACCAACTAGAAAGGGTGCTTGTCTGGATCTTGTCATAACAAACAATGTTGATCTTTTAACCAACATTCAAGTAGGGGAGCATTTGGGAAATAGTGATCACAATATGGTAAATTTTGAAATAAACTCAAAGCAAAAGCAAGTGGGGTATACTAAAACATATAATTTAAAAAAAGCCAATTTCAATAAGGTTAGAGCAGCTCTACAACATTGACTGGCATAAACTCCTTAGTGATAAAAACACTGAGAATAAATGGAGACTATTCAAACAAATATTAGAAAGGTACATTTCTCAGTATGTACCATTGGGTAATAAATATAAAAGAATCAAATTAAAACCAATGTGGCTTAGTAGAGAAGTAAAACAAGAAATAAAAAATAAAAAAAGGGAATTTAAAGCATTTAAATCAGACAAATCAAAGGCATCCTATTTAAGATATAAGGAAGCCAATAACGCTTGCAAAAAGGCAATTAAAGTGGCTAAACTAGAAAATGAGAAATTGATAGCTAAAGAATGCAAAACCAACCCCAAATTTTTTTTCAAGTTTATCAATTCAAAAAAAATGAAAGTGTAGGTACACTTGAAACAGAGTTGGGTTTATTAGCTAATGAAGACCAGGAAAAAGCAGAAATTTTAAATAACTATTTTTCTTCAGTATATATTAATGAGGATCCTATGGCAAGAGATATGCAAATGATTGCTGCAAATAACTTGCAAATAACTTGTGATTGGATAACTCGAGACAAGGTGCTACAGCTATTAAAGAAAATTAATGTAAATAAAGCTCCGGGGCCTGACGGTGTTCACCCACGAGTACTTAAGGAGCTAAGTGGGGAAATAAGTGAACCTCTGTATTTAATTTTTCAAGATTCTTTTGTTTCAGGTGTTGTACTGGAGGATTGGAGGAAGGCAGATGTTGTTCCTATATTTAAAAAGGTTCAAAATCCTTGCCTGGAAATTAGACCTGTGAGCTTAACTTCTGTAACTGGGAAAATATTTGAAGGGCTATTAAGGGATAACATTCAGGAATTCATTGGGAAGAACCTTATTAGCAATAATCAGCATGGTTTTATGAAACATCGGTCATGTCAAACTAACCTAATTGCATTCTACGAAGAAGTAAGTAGAAGTATAGATCAGGGTGTTGCCATGGATGTGATCTACTTGGATTTTGCCAAGGCATTTGATACGGTTCCTCACAATAGGCTAGTCTTCAAACTAAAAGAAATTGGTCTAGATGAATATTCTTGTTCTTGGGTAGAACATTGGCTTAAGGATAGAGTACAACAAGTTGTAATTAATGGTAAATTTTCAGGCTGGACAAAAGTTGTAAGTGGTGTCCCTCAGGGTTCTGTTTTGGGACCACTTCTGTTTAACATATTTATAAATGATCTTGAAATAGGCATTGAAAGCCATGTATCAGTGTTTGCAGATGACACAAAACTTTGTAAAGTAATAAAATGTGAGCAGGATATCACTTTGCTGTAGAAAGATTTGGATAGATTGGGGGACTGGGCACTAAAATGGCAGATGAAATTTAACATAGAGAAATGCAAAGTTATGCACTTCGGGGTTAAGAATGCACAAGCAACTTACACACTAAATGGTGGTGAATTAGGGATAACCACACACGAGAAGGATTTGGGAATTGTTATAGACAAATTAGGCAGCAATATGCAATGTCAATCTGCAGTTGCTAAGGCCAGTAAGATCTTGTCATGTATAAATAGGGGCATAAATTTTCGGGATGTAAATATAATTCTGCCTCTTTATAAATCGCTGGTAAGACCTCACCTTGAATATGCTGTGCAATTTTGGGCGCCTGTTCTAAAGAAGGATATCATGGCACTGGAGAGGGTCCAGAGACGAGCTACAAAATTGATAAAAGGAATGGAGCATTTTAGTTATGAAGAAAGGTTAAAAAAATTTAAATCTGTTTAGTTTAGAAAAACGGCGCCTGAGAGGGGATATGATAACTTTATACAAATATATTCGGGGCCAGTACAAACCTTTATCTGGAAATCTACTCATAAACAGGGCTATACATAGGACACGAGGTCACACATTTAGGCTGGAAGAAAGGAGATTTCATCTAAGGCAAAGAAAAGGTTTTTCTACAGTAAGAACAATAAGGATATGGAATTCTCTGCCTGAAGAGGTGGTTTTGTCAGTCCATACAGATGTTTAAACTGAAATTGGATAAATACTTACAAAAACATAACCTACAGGGATATAATTTCTAATTAGTGGGGTAATAGCTGCTTGATCCAAGGAGACATCTGACTGCTATTTTGGGGTCAAGAAGGATTTTTTTCCTAGCTTGTGGCAAAATTGGAAGCGCTTCAGACCAGGTTTTTTGCCTTCTTTTGGATAAACAGCAACAACATTTGTGAGGAAGGCTGAACTTGGACGCAAGCCTCTTTTCAGCTATGTAACTGTTAATGGCTCAAAAAAAACCCACACGAAGTCTTCATTGAATACTATTCTACCTATCTACTTCCCTAGCACTTCTATGACCTTTTATTTCACTTGACCCCACTCCCTATAGCATGTAAGCTCATTGAGCAGGGCCCTCAACCCCTCTGTTTCTCTGCGTCAAACTTGTCTGGTTACAATTACATGTTTGCGCACCTATTGTAAAGCGCTATGAAATTGCTCCTCTACACAGGCAGACATGTCCTCTTGGCATTTGGGTTACCTGGGGATTATTTTTTTCCTACACGATCCTGTGACCTACATGTATATGCTTTTATTCTTAGATCCTTACTGTACTCTGTAATGTTCCGCACTGCTGATAATGAAACTAGTATGGATAGCTGCTTCCGTGTTTTTATTGTCTAGATTTACTTTGCATGGCTAGATTGTTTGGGCTTTTTGTAGCAATTTACTTTTCACATCACTGGATGCAGGTTTTTAACAATTAATAATCAATCTCTGGGGAAAAAGTAAAAGTGCAAAGTTATTCATGACTGATGAACGTTGCTTGCTTTAAAATTCTAATTATCTAGATAGGTATAAGTATTTGTTTTGCATCCTAATGTTCTTTCTTCACATTTTAGATACATGGTGAAGCACAAGTCCCACTTAAGATTCTGAAGGCTCAGAAGTTTTCACTGCTGCTGGAGAAGATCAGACAACTTTACTGCTTTCTAGAGATTAGGACTCTATTCAGAATTGTAAAATAAACTGGCATGATCCTGACTTGCCACAATATTTTTGATCTACGGACAGATTACATCAATTTACAATCAGTGGATTGCATACTATTTTTTAAATAAAATTTGCATTGCTCACAATTAAAATTGTATATTTTGATAGTGGGAAGAGACTTTTATTTTAATTTTTTCCATGTAACTTTTTTTTCCCCCCTACAGATACAGAAATCTGAGGTATGTCAGTGTTGCATTCTTTAAACTCTCTGACTGTTTACCCCCTGTGCGCCTCTTTTTTTAATTTTTTTTTTTTTTTTATTGCATAACTTCCTTTACACTTTGAAGCTTCCAAAATTGGCAAAATTGTGTGTATGGAAATCAGTCTTACGCAGTAAGCAGACACTAGGAAGACCATCTCACAGTCCTGTAAGCTGCATTTGAGGTTAAACCATTCACTATAAGTTGTTTACTGTTGGGGGGGGGGAAACATTGTAGATAAACTATTAATATTTTGAAAAGCTGATTATGAATTTTCCTTGTCCCATTAACATTATACTGAAGAATAAAAAATATGAAAAATTCTTGTTGCATTTTATTGTGTGTATGTGTAATATATTAAATCCATAGAGCCCAGTGACTTTTTCAAATCTAAATTATGTGAATTTTATTTTCCTATTTGTGTATTTCTCCCCTTGGCCCCCTATTGATTTCATAAGGTGTGTTTATTTTTTTATTCTTATTGTGCAGGTTATCCAAAATGGAATTGTGTATGACATTGATCTGGCTGAAAAATAAAATCAATATAGCAGTTGAATAATCCAATGTAGAAAGGCCCTATAAGTCTTTAAAAAGTAAATGTAATTGGAATTTCTCCCTTTTCAGTTCTGCATTTAATATTTTAGAATTGCTTCTAGTCGCAAAGGGAACATATAAGCATTCCTATATGTGTATATACAATATTTGTGCGGTAAAATATCTAAAACTTTGGTAATTTAAAAATATATATTTTGTTGAATTTGTAGAAAGAACGAGGCCTTGCAAAAAAGTGTGGTCTAAGCCCAATATGAGCTTGTGATGTAAACAAATCCTTGCATTTTTTTTAATGCCTTTTAAACTTTTTGCACCTTAACTTGCTTTTCTGCCATTTACCAAATGTACAAAAATCACAATTAATTTTAATATATTAAATAGTATTTCTCACTGTACACCACATGGTGAATAACAAAGGATATACTTATCTATTTTGTTTACATGTATTACTCCTGTTAGAAAAAATATTAAACATTTGAATATCTATATATAAATGCATAAAGAAAACTTTTGAGTGATTCCATCCACCTGTTAATTTTTCATTACTTACATGACATTTACCCAACTACATGATTAACTTTCGCTCGACATTACATCTAAATAATTTTTTCACTTATGTGAACTATACGGGAAAAGGATAAGTATAGCAAATCCGTTATTTTTGTTGTATTTTAGCATCTAATATCTGCTATAATACTATGCTTTATATTAATATATCTACATTTAAGTGGTGTGGATTTTTAATTTTTTTTTAATAAGAATGTGAAACCTTAACAGAAGGTGCACTTCAGTCTATTTACTTGCATCCTAAAATTATTACATAAGACTTTATGGTAACGAGAACCATGCTTTGCAGCTAGATGTGATATTTTTTTTTTTTTTTTTTGGTAAATACTTTTGTTTTACTACCATGTTTTCTAGCAAATGTATAATTTTAAAACTAACCTAGTAGTCACATAAATTTAGACTAAAACCACTAAGTCATTGAAAGATTCCATTTAAGTGACTTTATATTTACTACTTTAGTTTTGAATTTGCACATTTACAGATGCATTAGTTTATACTGTATCATTTATCTTGAAGTATTTTTAGATTGTAAATACTCTTGTCAGACTATTGATGTGGAAAAAAATCTCACTGGGTTATTTACTAAATTGCAAACTCAAAGTGATTTTCTAATTTTAGACCAAAGTATCCACACTTAAAGTATAGGTTACTTAGAGAAATTCTGCAGTTTGACTATTTAGGCCTTAGATGTGAAATTCACATTGAAATTTCACTTTAGTAAATAACCCAATCGAATTTCCTGCTTAAGAGTATTTGTAAGTAACCTTGGGTGCAATCATAATGTCAAAGCATCTTGTTTTGACAGAATGTTTACATGCAGTTTCTTGCCCTAAGGGAGGCCCTAAGACAACCCTCCCCCCCCTCCCCCCCCCTCCATTAAAGGTGATTATGGGTCCCCAAGCCCCTAGTCACCCACCCAAGAAAAGTTACCCCCTACCTACCCCCTCACCCTAAAAAATAGTGAGGGGGGAGAAAAATAACTAACCTGTAAAGAAAAATTAAACTTGCCATTTGACGTCTTCTTTTTTTTCTAAAATCTTCATTTTTCAGCCCCAAAAAAGGCCAAATAAACCATCATACCCGTCAAACTTAAAATAAAATGAAAAAACCAGAGCGCAAAAAAAATCCATCTTCACCCATGGAGGGCTCCGCGCAGACTGAGCTCTGCAGGGCGGGGCAAGGCTTATAAAGCCTTACCTCGCCCTGCAATTAGGCTAAGAACACTGACTGGCTGGTTTAAGCCAATCAGAGTGCTCTTTGTCGTTTTACACAGCGTGGGAAAATTCCAAAGAACTTTCCCACGCTGTGTAAAATGACACAAAGCACTCTGATTGGCTTAAACCAACCAATCACTGTTCTTAGCCTAACTGCAGTGCGGAGCAAGGCTTTATAAGCCTTCCCCCGCCCTGCAGAGCTCAGTCTGCGCGGAGCCCTCCATGGGTGAAGATTGTTTTTTTTTTTTGTTTTTTTTTGCGCTCTGGTTTTTTCTTGTCAGGTTTTTTTATTTTATTTTAAGTTTGACGGGTATGATGGTTTATTTGGCCTTTTTTGGGGCTGAAAAATGAAGATTTTAGAAAAAAAAGAAGACGTCAAATGGCAAGTTTAATTTTTCTTTACAGGTTAGTTATTTTTCTCCCCCCTCACTATTTTTTAGCTCAAGGGTGGGGACCAGGGGTGAGGACAGTAGGTCCCCCCCATTGTAATTCATGGCCCCCACCCACCGCGCAGGGGTGGGTGCCGGGGGGGAAGGACAGTAGGTCTCCTCCCCTCTTATTGTTATTTAGGGCCCCCAGCCGCCGCACAGTGGTGGGGGCTGGATCGTAGGGTTTTTTTTGTGTGTGTTTAAAGTGAGCAGCCATTGGCTGTTTAGTAGGCTTCCCCACTCCTGCGGTAAAACGAGTACGGGCATTCGGGAGATTTTAATCAAAGTATTTAGAAAATTGGGCAGACTAGATGGGCCGAATGGTTCTTATCTGCCGTCACATTCTATGTTTCTTATGCTATTATGGGTGTCATATTGATCCCCATAGTGACATGGGGGGCTTAGGAAGTGGTGGGGAGCACTGCTCCCTGCCGCTTCTATCTTTACATATTAAAAGGAGGGAGCTGCACGCCGGTAGCTCCCTCCTTGTAATAAACTGAACGAACAAACTAACACTGATATTCAGTGTTTGTTCGTCTGACAATGCTATTCATTCATTTGTCTTTCTGATGAATGAATAGATGAAATTCCCGTTCGCATGTCAAAGTGTTTAACTGGGCATGTGCAGGAATATCATAGCGCTACCTAGTGTGGGCAGATGACGTGTCCCACAGGGACTTCATCTACCCACATAAAGATGGCGGTGCCTTGAATATAGATCGGAGCAGAAAATAAAGAATAAAAAAATAGGTAATATGGGGGCTTAAGGTCATTTGGCGGTGACTAGGGGCTCAGAGGTAGTGGAGGCGGGAGGGGGGTTAAAAATAAAAATGGGATTCGGCCATGACAGTACCGCTTTAATGTATAACATCATGCACACACCCCATTTATAAGCAATCACAAATTCCAAACCAAAAAAGTAACCATGTTGCTTATAGATACCAGAGCCTGATATAACTATCCCACCTAGCTGCACAGTTTGCCTGGTGCCGTTAGATCCCACATATCTTTTGTCACGATGGTATGTAGAGCGGCTGTGATTTCAGGGCACGGGGGGGAAAACCAGTCGACCGTTTTCTACATTTATTATTTTTTACATCACCTCTGCTGCACCTATATTAAGAACATATTTATAGGTATTTTTTTTCCTTTTTTTTTTTTTATATTTTTTTATGTTTAGCTTTTTTTTGTGTAGGTCATTTGGGTGGCATACCCCCCACCTTCCCTAAAATTCCACACCCTGAAGGCACTTACAGTAAAAATAAAAATTAAAAAAAAGTGTTAAACACTGCTGATTTTGAACGTTTGTCTACTCACAAAGAAATGATCAGTTTAACTTTAATGGTAAGTGTATTTTAACAGTGAGAGACAGAATAACAAAAAACAATTCCAGAAAAAAGCATATCAAAAAAAGTTATAAATTGATTTGCATGTCAATGAGTGATAAAAGTATTTGATCCCCTACCAATCAGCAAGATTTCTGGCTCCCAGGTATCTATTATACAGGTAACAAGCTAAAATTAGGAGCACTCTCTTAAGGGAGTGCTCCTAATCCCAGCACTTTACCTGTATAAAAGACACTGTTCTACAGAAGCAGTCAACCAGTTTTTAAAATGCTGAAATGGGCTACAACACAATCGCCAAGCAGCTTGGTGAGAAAGTGACAACAGTTAGTGCGATTATTCGCAAATGGAAGAAACACAAAATAACTGTCAGTCTCTCTTGGTCTGGTGCTCCGTGCAAGATCTGACCTCGTGCAGTTTCAATCATCATGAGAACAGCTCCAAACTACACGGGAGGATCTTGTTAATGAGCTCAAGGCATCTGGGACCATGGTCACTAAGAAAACAATTGATAACACACTACGCTGCGAAGGACTGAAATCTTGCAGCACCCGCAAGGTCCCCCTGCTCCAGAAAGTACATGTAAAGGTCTGTCTGAAGTTTGCCAATGAATGATTCAGAAGAGAACTGGGTGAAAGTGTTGTGGTCAGATAATACCAAAATCGAGCTCTTTGGCATCAACTTAACTCGCCATGTTTGGAGGAGGAGGAATGCTGCCTATGCCCCCCAGAACACCATCCCCACTGTCAAACATGGAGGTGGAAACATGATGCTTTGGGATGATTTTTTTTGCTAAGGAGATAAGACAACTGCACCACATCAAAGGAACAATGGATGGGGCCATGTACTGTCACATCTTGGCTGAGAACCTCCTTCCTTCAGCCAGGGCATTGCAAATGGATTGTGGATTGGTATTCAAGCATGACAATGACTAAAAACACACATCCAAGACAACAAAGGAAGAAAGAAGAAGCATATTAAGGTCCTGGATTGGCCTAGCCAGTCTCCAGACCTTAATCCCACAGAAAATCTGTGGAGGGAGCTGAAGGTTTGAGTTGACAAATGTCAGCCTCGAAACCTTAATGACTTATAGAGGATCTGCAAAGAGGAGTAGGACAAAATCCTGTGGTATCTGGAACCAAGACATCCTTTAAGTCAAATTAAGGCACATCCTAAATGTCCTACAAGATAGGGCCTCCATGGATCAGATTTGTTGTTTCAGAAAATCTCACA